CCACAGAGCAGCAGACATTTTCTAAATTTCTTTTCTCAAATTATTAGCATATAAACATAGATATTCCCATATTGTTATGTATCGTCCAAAACTGGCTCCCACATGAGATATTGCTTGGGTGAGATCAAGCGACATCTACAATGTAGATATCGCTGCAATGAAATTGCATCACAATGCTATGCAGACAATTGTGACGTCACTGGTTACCATGACGTCACAATCAAATGACATCACTAATGGCTCTGCTACTGAAGCTGTAAGCAGTACTTTTTACACTTAAGACACTACTAATTACTGTCTACAAACTGAAAAAGTTGGAAGAATGATGTTGGATGATAAATAAAATCTCACCCTCGTGTCTTTTGATATCAAATATATCAACACTCGTTGATAAAAGTGGAAAAAAATCCTCGGCAAGCCTCGGAGTTTTTCCACTTTTATCAACTCGTGTTGATATATTTGATATCAAAAGACACTCGGGTGAGATTCTCTATATATCCGTAGCATATATCACGTGTATTTCTATTGATATAGAACAGCCCCAATGTCTGTAAATAATGCAACAGCTAAACCCAACAACACACGATCACATAAACTTAAGAAATAGTAAAATATGTAATTATAAAACAAAAAAGATGTTTATGTGTATGAATTATTTCCGGTTGAGTTTTATGTTTTTCCCACTCGCGGGAAGTGAAACGATCACTGACATGTCTGGGGATTAGAACCTATGTCTCCGACAAGTCGGTTGAACTCGGCTACACCAAACTGCGTTTTAAGGATGTTATCAGTTGATGAACGTCGCGTGCTAATTACTACCCAATGAAGAAGGAAATACCCGTTATAAACTCTTCAAAAAAAGAAAGGTACAGGTAGATTTTTAGTAAATTTATTGTACCTAATAAAGTCGATATATTTCATTTAATATCATAGATACAAGTATGAAATTTCGGAGCTCGATAGTCACATGTTGTCGTTGTACAAAGGCATTGAAAAATATTCATTGTCATGTCACATAAGGCCACAAGGTTGCGCTGAACTCAGTATCTCGTGTAACCGCCCCGGGCAGCAATCACGGCTCTGCATCTCCTCGGCACTGACTGGATAAGTGTACGAATTCTGTCCTGCGGAATTCTGCACCATTCTTGTAACTCGTTGGCCAGTTGTGGGAGTGTCTGTGGCATGTTCCGACGTTGACGTACACGTCGATCGAGCTCATCCCAGAGGTGTTCGATTGGGTTGAGATCTGGAGATTTCGACGGCCAAGGCAATTCGTTGCTGTTGGCATTAAGATGGGTCCTCTACCGTGACACGATGTCCTGTTGAGACAGCTTCCTCTGGCGGTCAATGGTTGGAAGAAGATGAGGTTGAAGAATTTGACTCGTAGCGACACCACCGCCACCGATTTTGTCGAATTCACGTACACAATGTGGGGCAAAACGCTCATTTCGACGACGATAAACACGTTGTCTTCCATCTCGCCGGTGAAGAAGAAATCGTGGTTCATCGCTAAAGCACACTCGTCTCCAGTTTCTCAAATTCCAAGGCTGTAAGGTATGGCACCAACGCAAGCGTCTCTGTCGATGGATCTGTTGCCTAACAGGGACGATAACTGGTCTTCTGGGTCGGATTCCAGTCTCGCGAAGATGGTTCCTGCAGTGGAACTGAACTGTGTAAATCGGTCACAAATGGTGCTGTGGTGGACGTTGAAGTGGCGTGCAACAGAAGACTGCAATTCCCCTCTTTGTATACGTCCCATAGCGTTGTTCCGATCGGCAGCGCTGAGTCTCGGCATTTTCGAGCTTGAAAAATGTTGACAATTGAATGACAAATTATTGGCTTATGCTTGCCTTTTTATAGCCACTACCACAAGTTACGAATGCCCTAACTTGCACGTGCAATTTGCTTCACTGTTTTCCCCAATGCCATTTTTGAACAAGTGTGAAAACAATGCCGTTTAAGACATTGCAAATCGACAATGGGTGCGTTTTGACGCACCATTTGTCGAATATTAGGCCACCAACATTTTCCAATAACATATATCCAGTTTATATACCGGATTTTTTGTGTAGTCAGGTTCAATGAACTACATACTACCTGTGCGTTTCTTTTTTTGAAGAGTGTATGTGACAAATTTTCACGACCATTATGGCGTCATCCAACTGTTTCATTATGACGTGTATCTGATTAAGCTATTTGAGAAACTATAATTTATGTTCATAATTCTAAAATGCTTCGCTTGAAGATCAAAGGCGCCGACGTTTTCGTGCTTTAACTATACCAGTTCAGCGCAAAACTATACTTTTTTTACATCACGGTAAATCGCAAAGAACAATGAAGAGCGGAGCGTGGATTATTTCACGATGAAACATTGTTCCATCATGACGTCATTTCGAGAGATTCAAACATGCCCTTGGCAACCTATTGACGTCATAAAATGGACGACGTTATTTTTTAAAGGGGGGTGTCCAGGGAGTTGTTTCCCATGGATGTTTTGTTTTGTTTGTTTGTTGTTTAACGCCTCACTCAGCAATATTCCAGCTATATAACGGCGGTCTGGAAATAATCGAGTCTGGACCAGACAATCCAGTGATTGACATCATGAGCATCGATCCACGCAATTGGGATCGATGACATGCATCAACCAAGTCAGCGAGCCTGACCATCCGATCCCGTTAGTCGCCTCTGACGACGTGCATAGTCGCCTTTTAGGGCAAGCATGGGTTTCTGAAGACCTATTCTACCCCGGGTCTTCACGGGTCTCCCATAGATGTAACTGGGCGACGTACATAAACGCCATGCTCAAACGATCGCATCCAAAAGTGGAAGAGACATGACAATCGGTACTTGGAGCGGTACAGACATTCGACTTGACAATTGTGAGAATATCCAGGAAATACCAAACTCGACTCCCTGTTCATAAAATGTACTTGTCCGACGTTGATTAGGTCGGATTGTATTCAGGGAATCATCATTATTTAAATACGGGTCAGCGATAGAAAATAACAAGTTTAGTCCAGTAGTCCCTATAACGATGACATATAGTGAAACCCTTCAAAATGGCAAATTTCTGCTAGTCCTTATGATACCTTAACTGTTGGGCAGTTTGGCAAGGATTACGGGACAGGTGCCAATTTCTACCGCCGCGGGAAAATATTTTTAAAGCTTGTACATTTTATTAACATCCTTAAAGAGGTTGTACATAATGTTGAAATTTCATGTAGGAAATAAACGATTCGATTTTTTTAATTTATAGTACAATAAAACACTGCGCCCCTCATAGCTTATTCTCCCTGCAGAGTTTTATTGTACGATTAACAACTCCCACTCATCGTATATTTCTCAAGTAGAGGGGCGGTCGGGTAGCCTTGTGGTAAAGCGTTCGCTCGTCACGCCGAAGACCCGGGTTCTATTCCCGACATGGGTACAATGTGTGAAACCCATTCTTGGTGTCCCCCGTCATGAAATTGCTGGAATATTGCTAAAAGCGGCGAAAAAACAAACTCACTCACTATTAAACAGAGAATATTATACTAATGTGTCATACTGATTTTACGAAACAAGTGTCTGAATTCTTGTACTTTATTACATTCTTACACAAGTTTCGTAAAATCAGTATGACACAAATTCTAGTGTAATGATTTCATTACCAAATTATTTCTAATCCTTTTGAGCTCCGCCTAGAAAAATGATCACGACCGCCGGCTTAAAAAAACACAATTGTCGAATGACGTCAACAATTTTCAGCTATGACTTCATTTCTAGTGTGACATCACTCCGGCCTAACGTCACAATAAGATTCGAATGACGTCAACAATGCCGTCCGGATGACGTAAACAATACACATTTTATTAAGTCAGTTATTTCTAACACTATGGGTAAAAAAAGAAAATGTTGACATATTTTACATATTAAAAAAACAACATATTAATGTCTGTGTTTTTATCAACATAGGGCATATTTGTTTTCATATAGGTGCCTAATAGTCAACGTACGTTAGGCTATCTCGACCACAAATGCAATTGTTGTCAATCTTGTGTAGCATGGCGTGGTAGCAGTGGTGTTAATATTAACATTTCTCGAGTGTCCGATATTAACTGAAAACAACCCATTAGTCACGTTCTATCGAAAACAATTTAGGCCTGTATGTCGTGATACCTTCGCAGTAAACAATGGTACAATGACTATCACAAAAGCCCGCTGATGACTGATAGCAATTGTGGCCTTTCAAGTTTAGCATAACGTTGCTAAGGTGACGACCTTTTGACAACAAACAGAAACCAACGCACTCTTTTCAATATACGCCACGAAATGTAGTTCCATTACTATCAAACACTATAAACATTAATGTAGGATGATTTAGTTGTATTATGAACATATGTCGATATATATCAGTTTTCCTAAATAGATGTACTCTGTGTTATTGAATATAACAGTTGTCATGCTACATATTGTTTGCGCATTGACACAATAATTACAAATACAAGATGGCGGATGTTGTTGACGGAATTTCTTCTAATGGCTTCAATATCGTGTTGAAAATGTAGAATACGAGGCGGTATTTCGCCTTATTGTTTAACACAGGTTTAACGTTGAATTGCTTAAAGTGTTATTGTTTATTAAGGCTGTGTATTATTTAATTTGGATGTATTTGATGTGTTTTGAGAGGTGTGTTTTGAAACGTTCACGAGTGCTGTCACTGTATATTCAACCACTGGATATCAAGGCTACTTCTCACCAACATGACACCGCTAAAAAAGAAGAATAACTTATAAAACAATATCGGGATAATAATCCTGCTAGAAAGGAACACTAACGTTCTGTGGATATGCTGTTTGGAAACATACCGGATATATATCCTGTCACTGGATCATGAACCAGGAATACAGAGCTTGTAAATGAATGATTCATAATCGTATGCGATATATACATCGTGTTCAGTATATTGAATCAGCTATTTATTGTGAATAAGTGCCAAATTGTCCGTTTGAATTTTCTAGTCTACAAAGAAATCAGAAATGGATAAGTATGAAAGAATAATGAAGATCGGAGAGGGATCGTATGGTGTTGTTTTCAAGTGTCGTCACAGAGAAACTGGACAGTTGGTGGCCATTAAAAAATTCGTGGAGTCAGAAGATGACCCTCAGATCCGGAAGATCGCATTGAGGGAAGTACGGATGCTGAAGGTAATCAAACTGTCAAACTTATAATTTGCATATTAGTTGTCAACAAAGCCAAAACGTTGTGAAAAGTTATTTTTATCAACAGTGTACATTGTTTATGAAAGCATGTTTGGTTTTAGATGACAGATAATAATTGAGACAATACAATATTTACCCTAGAATTGGCTGACTCTAACACTATAGTATGCCACGTACATGTATGGGTAACAGTACACAATTATCTGGGTAACTTGTAAAGTAGCAAGAACCAAGATGACCAAAATTCACATGTTTAATGTTGATTGTCAAGTTGGCTTGTAATTTGGGTACATTTGTATTGGTCTCAGACCCGTGAAGATCCAGGGTAGAATAGGTCTTCAGCAACCCATGCTTGCCATAAAAGGCGACTATGCTTGTCATAAGAGGCGACTAACAGGATTGGGTGGTCAGGCTTGCTGACTTGGTTGATGCATGTCATCACATACCAATTGCATGGGTCGATGCTCATGATGTCAATCACTGGATTGTCTGGTCCAGACTCGATTATTTACAGTCAAATAGCTGGAATATTGCTTAGTGCGGCATTAAGCAACAAACAAACAAATTATTGATCTCATTCTCGACAAATTGACTAAAACTTATATATATTTTATATCCATATTCGTCTGAAATAGAGTGCAGGGTTAACTCCAGGAATTTTCTGACATGGACCCTTTATGTGAAAATTTCAAATACTCCAGACGTACGCCCATACAGCACAATGTTAAAAATGTCCCTTTGTATTTGAAAATATGGGCCTTTTTCCAAATTTAGGGGCTAAAAAGCACAAGGCCCCACCCTAGAAATATCCCTGAGAGTGCAATGCATTTGATACAATGCAGATAACATCCATTGTCTAGTGGATAGAGCATAACAGATGACAAGCCATGCTAACAGTTGTGGGCCTTTTTGGCTCCCAGCAAATGTATAATTTTAGATTCATGGAAAACTTTAAATACACATGTTCAAATGGCTGACAACTAGTCTTTCTTTCTTATACTTTATTTTGGACTAAGAACATTACAAAGAACAAAAATACAACTAAGCTATGTGAAAACAGAAGTCTGTGACCCAAGATGAATTGTTTAACGTTTGAATTAATCATGTTTATCTACATCTCCTGGTTAAATCAGATTAGGGCAAAGAGAAAACTCTATCTAAAAAACTCCAAAATGAGCCTTTTTGAGATGTTGACTCTTTCCTAAACATTTAGTGCTGTCCAAAACATGCAAGCCTTCAAATCAACAATGTCTATAATTCAGTCTGTGCCAATAACGTTTGAGCCTAATGACTCGAAGATGTATCTATGCATCATTTTCAGAAGAGTTTAGTGTATTCATTATGAACTACGGGTTAGAATAGGTCTTCTTCAGCAACCCATGCTTGTCGGAAGAAATGACTAACATGATCCTGTGGTCAGGTTCGCTGACTTGGTTGATGCATGTCATCGTGTCCCAACTGAGTGGATCGATGCTCATGATGTCGATCACTTGATTGTCTGGTCCAGACTCGATTATTTACAGACTGCCGTCATATAGCTGGAATATTGCTGAGTGTGGTGTTAGACAACAAACAAACAAAATCATATAAACTAATGTTAGCCAAGCTTCTTAGACTGAACAGAAATTCACTATACTCTGGTTTCGGACAAGTGGCTAATGTCGCTGACTGCTAATTCTCATGAACGTGTAACATTTATCATTGTTTATAACCATGATAACTTCATAACAATTTCCTAAAGTTTTGTTAATTTCTTAAATTACGCAGATGACAGGCTCGTATAAATAGAAATCTTAAAATGGAAGATAAAAGTAACGATTACCGTGATTACGTGATTACACATTCTTCCTGTTTTTGATCATTGATGAATGAGTGTAATACTAGGATAACAACTTCAATAACATCTGCTTGTTACATATTGTTTTATCATGTTTATTGACATGTTTACAATTTAATATAATTGACAAGTTGCTTGTCATCATGGACATTGCTTTCAGAAGGTGTAATGGATTCCAACTGACATTATGACAAGAATGACGCCCGTTCGTAATTGTACTAATCCTGCTTGTACTTCATATCATCTTTGCTAAAATATCATTATCTTGTTGTCTTTCAGCAATTGAAACATGAAAATTTAGTATCATTGCTTGAGGTGTTCAGAAGAAAGAAGAAACTCCACCTGGTGTTTGAGTATGTGGATGACACACTCCTGGGCGAACTTGAGAGGAATCCAAGAGGGTGCGTAGTAGGGCTCTTACGATTCACTCGCATATTCGGTGAATCGAACCTTATCCATGAATTGAATTCGTTATTCGTGGCCATTAGAATCAAATATTTATGAATATGCAAGCATTTACACAAAAATACCCATAAATAGAGAATCTCACCCAAGTGTCTTTTGATATCAAATATATCAACACGAGTTCATAAAAGTGGAAAAATTCCGAGGCTTGCCGAGGATTTTTGCCACTTTTATCAACGAGTGTTTTATGAGTGATTTCATACCTAAAGACAATAAAAGATGGTGCTTGTTGTTACCCTGCCTGCCATTTGGGATTATGGTGATGAAAAAAGGACTGTTTGGCTTGGAGTCAGTATACAGGAGCTCATCGGGGTATCCATGGTGTCAGTGGGCTAGCACTATGAACGTAACCAATTTATTGTTGAATGCACTTGATGTTAACTCGGTAGACAAGTTGGGACTAAACCACTATATACATGGTGCCTACTATCCAGTGTATTATATCATGTATATTTTCTTCTATTACTATTAGGGGGAATGGGAACGGGAGCACGACAGAGACTTATGATCATTGGTTTGACTCCCGGTTCGCCCTGATCGTGTTTCTGCTAATGCTGTTTCTAGGTTTGTCAGCACCATACCCGTGCTCGTGGGTTTCACCGAAGTGGTAAATCTGAGACCTGCGTCACTTCAGGCTTTTCCCCCACATTAAGCTGACTTGCCGTGATAGAACTGGAATACTGTTAAAAGCGGCGTTAAACCCAACTCACTCCTTTCTATAAACACCCTGGTCTCATTCACCAGTGTAACTTTGTTTCTGAAGTTAAGTCACTATTTCCACCATCTTAGCACAGAATATATCTCTCTCATGAAAGTTAGTTGATTGGACACCTATTTTATTATTTTTAATCATCATGTCATTCGAATTATGCTCAATACAAAGGTATGCATGGTATGGTAGCAAACAGGTGACGCATATTTATTGCAATGGAATGCGATTATGTAGAATATACTGGATATCAAGTATGGCAATACAGGTGAGTGCGTGAGTTGGATTTAACACCTTTTTTAACAGTATTCCAGTTATATCACAGCGTGTCAGCTTAATGTGGGGGGAAAGCCCAAAGTGATGCAGGTCTCAGACATTTACCACTTCGGTGAAACCCACGAGCACAGGTATGGTGCTGAGAAACCTAGAAACATAATCGGGGCGAACAGGGATTCAAACCCCCAATCATAGGTTTCTGGCGTGTCCAAGGGACGCAACTCTGCACAGCGAATCACAGCGCCTTAGACGACTGGGCCACCTGTGCCCTCGGCAATACAAGTAATGTCTACTTATGTCTTTTATCAATGTCATGTTTTCTTTATATTTTCAGGGTAAAAGAAAAAGAAACCAAAAAACTTGTATATCAGGTGATTCAAGCAGTCAAGTTCTGCCATCAACACAATGTGAGTTGACCTGTTATTATCATGATGATTGTGTTATATGTTATTATTGTGTTAATAACACATGGCACAGAGCTCCAGATAAGCCGCGTATCTGCGTAAAATACCCATCAGAAATGCAGAAATACGCAGTAAAATAAAATCCAAGCATATCAAATGCGCAACGAACATTACAGATACGCTACAAAAATAAAACTTGTGCGTATCATCAAAATATTGTGAAGTAACCCTTGCGTATTTGATTAGCAAATCAGCAACTTATTTTGAAATCATAAATGGGCATTCCGTCAACCTTGCCAAACTCCACGATGACAGTTACATCATGATCGTTTGCCATCACACTTTCTTGTGGAAGTATCGTGGTATTTTTGAGCTCTATAAAGCTCTCAAACCCACACGACACCAGTTTGCAGGGACTAGATGAACAGTGTTTTTAAATATTAAACTTAAATACCCACATGTGTAAAAACTAGTGGGTAACAGAAATTTGAATACCCAGATAGAATTACTGATACCCAATGATTTTAAAATGCATGGGTAAAATACCCACAACACCAAAAGCTTATCTTGAGCTCTGATGGCATCTCAAATTATTCAAATCTTCCCCCTCCAAAGTTCATTTTGGTTTGAAATTCTACCGTGGATTTGAAAAATGGTTGATTCTGATTGGTTAATCACTGGTTTCAAATGCCAATAACCTGCTGATTGAAAAAGGTGATTTGACAGCTGCATCACTGCCCATGCAGCAGAAATATATATTCATAGAAATTAATTTTTTTACTTTTTACTATAAATGTTGGTAGGAATTTAAAATACAGTAAACTACGGTTCTTTTCTAGCTCTACCAATGTCTACTTTTAATGTCAGTTCTTCTTTTGAATTACAAAATTGAAATTTCTGACAGTTTTTTATTAGGAAAACTACCATACATTAGAGGTTTCCTGCGTATAGGCCAAGGTTTTAATACTTAAAGCATTGAGATTGGAAAGGAGGTCAACTAGCAGACCAATACTCTACATGCTATGATAATAGCATTCAGCTTGTTGGGAAGCAGTTATTATTTGCGCTGAACATTCAGATTGTAGAAAATGGCACTAGTCCCTTAGTCCTTGCCTAGAAGGAAGGGGCGCCTAGAAGGATGGGGTGCCTAGAAGGAAGGGGTGCCTAGAAGGATGGGGTGCCTAGAAGGAAGGGGTACCCAGTAGGATGGGGTGCCTAGAAGGAAGGGGTGCCTAGAAGGAAGGGGTGCCTAGAAGGATGGGGTGCCTAGAAGGATGGGGTGCCTAGAAGGAAGGGGTACCCAGTAGGATGGGGTGCCTAGAAGGAAGGAGTGCCTAGAAGGATGGGGTTCCTAGAAGGAAGGGGTACCCAGTAGGATGGGGTGCCTAGAAGGAAGGGGTGTCTAGAAGGATGGGGTGCCTAGAAGGAAGGGGGGCCTAGAAGGATGGGGTGCCTAGAAGGATGGGGTGCCCAGTAGGAAGGTGTGCCTAGAAGGAAGGGGTGCCTAGAAGGATGGGGTGCTTAGAAGGATGGTGTACCTAGTAGGAAGGGGTACCCAGTAGGATGGGGTGCCTAGAAGGAAGGGGTACCCAGGAGGATGGGGTTCCTAGAAGGATGGGGTGCCTAGAAGGAAGGGGTACCCAGTAGGATGGGGTGCCTAGAAAGATGGGGTGCCTAGAAGGATGGGGTGCCTAGAAGGAAGGGGTACCCAGTAGGATGGGGTGCCTAGAAGGATGGTGTACCTAGTAGGAAGGGGTACCCAGTAGGATGGGGTGCCTAGAAGGAAGGGGTACCCAGTAGGATGGGGTGCCTAGAAGGAAGGGGTACCCAGGAGGATGGGGTGCCTAGAAGGATAGGGTGCCTGGAAGGATGGGGTGTCTAGTAGGAAGGCGTGCCCAGAAGGGTGGGGTGCCTAGAAGGAAGGGGTGCCTAGAAGGATGAGGTGCCTAGAAGGATGGGGTGCCTAGAAGGATGGTGTACCTAGTAGGAAGGGGTACCCAGTAGGATGGGGTGCCTAGAAGGAAGGGGTGCCTAGAAGGAAGGGGCGCCTAGAAGGATGGGGTGCCTAGTAGGATGGGGTGCCTAGAAGGATGGGGTGCCTAGAAGGATGGTGTACCTAGTAGGAAGGGTACCTGGAAGGAAGGGGCGCCTAGAAGGAAGGGACGCCTAGAAGGAAGGGACGCCTAGAAGGATGGGGTGCCTGGAAGGATGGGGTGCCTAGTAGGAAGGCGTGCCTAGAAGGAAGGGGTGCCTAGAAGGATGGGGTGCCTAGAAGGATGGTGTACCTAGAAGGATGGTGTACCTAGTAGGAAGGGGTACCCAGTAGGATGGGGTGCCTGGAAGGAAGGGGCGCCTAGAAGGAAAGGGCGCCTAGAAGGAAGGGGCGCCTAGAAGGAAGGGGTTCTCACTAGGATGGCGTAACAGAGTATGATGCAGCGTTAGAATTTAGCACTAGTCCTATACTGGGTATAGTCCTTGCCAAACTGCCCAATAGTTAAGGTATCACAAGGACCAGTAAAAATTTGCCCTTTTTCAGGGTTTTGCTATATGTTATCATTATAAGGACTAGTGGACTAAGATAAAACTGTTAGTTTCTATCGCTGTGGCTACAAGGATAAGGATTAAATGTATGCATTTGTTTAAACATTTCTTCTCACACATCCTTCTCCTGTTTGTCAGGTGATTTTCACTTTTGTGGGATTTCAAGTGTTGTTTGTAACAAGTTAATACAGACTTTTGAATGTAAATAGGCAATGGTATCTGCAAATTATACATTGTCACTGTACCAATCATTATTTGAATCAGCAGTCTATTGTCTTTGTCACTGGGGGTTTTGTCTTTTGTTTTAACACCCCGCTCAGCTATATGACAGCGGTCTGTATATAATCAAGATTTGACCAGACAAACCAGTGATTGATATCATGAGCAACATACCATGCAGTTGGGGTATGATTATACGCAAACATCCATGTCATCGACCCTACCACCCAGTCCCGGGTAGCCTAGTGGTTAAAGAGTTTGCTCGTCACGCCGAAGACCCGGGTTCGAATCACGACATGGGTACACAGTGTGAAGCCCATTTCTGGTGTCCCCTCCCGTGATATTGCTGGAATATTGCTAAAAGCAGCGTAAAACCAAACTCACTCACTACTACTTAGTCCATTTAGTTGTCTCGTACAGCAAGCTTTAGTTACTATGGACCTATCCTAACCGGAATTCCCATGTGGGGTATTGTTTTCCAAAGGATTAGACGAAGCAGGAGTTGCCAGTGTAGCTTGGTTTATTAACATTGCTGTCGTGTGTGTAAACAAGATATATATCAGCTGGTTGTTGACTGTGGCCTTGGTCTTACCTGGTAGTTGAGGGTCGGTAGGGTAGACAAGTGGTTAAAGCTTTCGCTTGTCACGCCGAAGATCTAGGTCCGTTCTCCACATGGGTACAGGGGCGGTCGGGTAGCCTAGTGGTTAAAGCGTTCGCTCATCACGCCGAAGACCCGGGTTCGATTCCCGACATGGGTACAATGTGTGAAGCCCATTTCTGGTGTCCCCCGCCGTGATATTGCTGGAATATTGCTAAAAGCGGCGTAAAACAATACTCACTCACTCACTCACATGTGTACAATATGTGAACCTCATTTCTGGTGTCCCCATGGTTATATTACTGGAATATTGCTAAAAGCAGCGTAAAACCTCGGCATTAAGGACTGGTCGGCTCGGAGTCAGTATACTGTGTCTGAGTGGGGTATTCATGTTAAACTGCGGCATGGTATATCAATGTGCTAGCACTATAAATCGGCATCAGTCCGGACTAGTACAAGCAGCCACACACACATGCATGCACGTCGCTATATAAGTGCAATTATCTTGGATGCGACGTTAAACCCATTTCACTTCACTTTAGACAGTGCTAAATCATTAAATTTTAACATGAGGATTATGAATGGGAGTACAACCAGCTGATAACATGGTGTTGTCTTGATTAGAACCCCATGAGTTTCATCATTAGTTTTGGACACAGCTTGGAGACTTTCAGTGTTCATTTCAAACACAGCTTGATATGCATGGTTTATATATGTAATCTGTCATCTGTATTTTATTGTTGATATCATTAACTAGCGCCATTAAGGCCAGGAGTTTTATATTTTTCGAATTACAGACCTGCAGACTCTAAATTTTTTAGAAAATGTAAAAAAAATATATCAGATTTCCAATTTTTTTCCCCGCCGATAGCCCCATAGTCAGTTATTTTTTTGGTTATCATCACCTTTTAATAAAAACATATGAATTTACCGTTGTAAACTAGTAAACAGATACATAATCAATCTTTTTTGATCTCGAAGCTGAACATGAATAGCCTCCCTTGACAATTGTCCGTGTTGTAAGTGGTGGAATTTTTATTGTTACAAGGGGCTTTATCGTCACAAATGGCAGTCTTTTGAGCACAGAATATGTTCATGAAGTATGCCAGAGGCATTCTGCATTAAAGAAAATGCATCTGGCTTTTCTTTTTCTTTTTTCCCTCCTCCAGCCCTGGACTTTGGGCTGAAAAATCGGTAATCCTAAAACTAAAAAAGGCTTGGCCTAAAGAGTTTGGTGACATTGACTGTGATGTTGATTTCAGGCTGACATGGGGTGATACTGTTGTATATTTCATTGCAGGCTATTCACAGAGATGTAAAGCCAGAAAACATCCTCATCACAAGACAAGGGGTCGTCAAACTATGTGATTTTGGTTTTGCAAGGACAGTCAGTAAGTAGTTAGTAGTATTAGGAACAAACTTCAGCTTGTTGAGGTAATTGACTGTTTGAGGGCTGCTCTGTCTAAACTTGATGGGGCGGTCGGGTAGCCTAGTGGTTAAAGCGTTCGCTTGTACAATCTTTTGAGTGTAATAGGCAATGGTATCTGCAAATTATACATAGCCAAGTCTGCGGTCACTGTACCAGTCATTATTTGAATTAGGAGTGTATTGTCTTTGTTATGGGGGTTTTGTCTTTTGTTTTAACACCACGCTCAGCTATATGACAGCGGTCTGTATATAATCAAGATCTGATCAGACAAACCAGTGATTGATATCATGAGCATCAAACCATGCCATTGGGGTATGATTATACGCAAACATCCTTGTCATCGACCCTACTACCCAGTCCCGGGTAGCCTAGTGGTTAAAGCGTTTGCTCGTCACGCCGAAGACCCCGGTTCGATTCCCAACAGGGTACAATGTGTGAAGCCCATTTCTGGTGTCCCCCGCCGTGATATTGCTGGAATATTGCTAAAAGCAGCGTAAAACCATACTCACTCACTCTAAACTTGATAAAAGCAGAACTCCAGATAGATGTAAGTTTTGTAAAGTCAGGGCGGTCGGGTAGCCTAGTGGTCAAAGCGTTTGCTCGTCTCGCCAAAGACCCAGGTTCAGTTCCCCACATGGGTACAACGTGTGAAGCCCATTTCTGGTGTCCATCACCTTGATATTGCTTGAATATTGCTGAAAGCGGCGTAAAACCACTCTCACTCTATTAAATCAAGTGAATTATTAACTGTGAAAATAATAGGACAGACATAAGGATGATAAAAAATAGGGGAGCCAAGGAAAACATTTACTGTATTCAACGTAATAAGCACCCCGCTCTAATAAGCACCCACGGCGATATTTGCTAATATATTGGCTAGTAAACAATATATAGTGATAAACAATATATCACATGACTTCCACGGGTCCAGGTAGTCCTGTGGGTACCCGGGTCCTTCTCAGTACCCACCCGACCTGAGTACCCAAGTTACCCGTCCCAGTCCTAATGTGTATTCTCCAGTTATTGCCATCACTGGGTGTACATGCTGTAGGCCGTTGTTGTGTAGGCTGGAGTTTTCAGTCTACAAAGAATAAGATCTAGACCCCTAGGGACTCCATTTTTACACATTTGGATTATGTTTGGGATCCTTTAACTTTCTGGGGGCACGGGTGGCCCAGTCGTCTAAGGCATCGCGATTCACTGTGAAGAGTTGCGTCCCTTGGGCACGCCAGAAACCTATGATTGAGGGTTCGAATCCTGGTTCGCCCCGATTATGTTTCTAGGTTTGTCAGCACCATACCCGTGCTCGTGGGTTTCACCGAAGTGGTAAATGTCTGAGACATGCATCACTTCCCACATAGAGCTGGCAAGCTGTGATATACCTGGAATAATGTTAAAAGCAGCGTTAAACCCAACTTACTCACTCACCTTAACTTTCTTTTGTAGTTTATGAAAAATATAACCCCTGTAATATTTTTTACATAGATTTGAAACTTTCAGTTGGAAGACTATTTGTATGTCTGTGAATATCATCATCATTCTATAATCTGAGATTGTTTTGATGCTAAATTTGGATTTTGTGTTCTCAGCAGGTCCTGGAGATGAGTACACAGACTACGTGGCCACCCGGTGGTACCGGGCCCCAGAGTTGCTAGTCGGGGACACACAGTACGGGCCCCCTGTGGATGTGTGGGCCATCGGCTGTGTGCTGGCCGAACTCATGACGGGAGAAGCCTTGTGGCCGGGCCGGTCGGATGTGGACCAATTATTCCTCATCAGAAAAAGTCTAGGTAGGATTTGATATTATTTATTCAGGGTTTGAACATTTAGAAATCAAATTACATTTTTACAAGTCGGCAAATATCTTTGAGTTGGCATCCATGAGGTCCTTGAGTTTTTCTGCTAGAGTCTTTGAATCTAGCTTTTCGAGGAACACTTTAATGTTCAATATTATAGGCAAGAGCCTCTTTAGCGCCATTCATTATTTAGAACAGTGGTTTACATATTAAACTGTGTTCTTTAAGATTTTGTTTTCTTAATGATTTTGTTTTCTTAATGATTTTTTATCATGTTAAAATTAACAGAAAATGTTTATTGTCACATGTTTAATCATTATGTTATTATAAGTACACTGTATTGTTTTTTTCCAGGGGATTTACTGCCTCGGCATTTAGAAATATTCAACAGTAACAGTTTCTTCAAGGGGATGACTATTCCTGAACCAACACAGATGGTAAGTTGTACATGGATGCAACTGCAGGAACCTCATCCTGTTCAATTGGCATCCTCATCCTGTGTTCTCTGGCCGTCATGTTGTGACAGTTTTATCCTTCTGATGTCATTGTTTAACCTTCTTTGATAGGCATTTAGAAGTTGGAGTTCTAAGTAAGGATAAGAATTTATTGATGAGCAACTTCTTTATTACAATTGAGAGCGACGTTTCGGTGTAGGTTCTAATTTATCGCTTGATAACATTCATTCATTCATTCATTCATTCATTCATTCATTCATTCATTCATATATTCGGCACCATTCTCTCTATTTGGCCTTGCTTGACAACAATGGATCTATACCGAAATGTTGCCTTTACAGTAAATAAGAAGTTGTTAGAACCCATAAACTATCTCTACTTTGTCATCCGTCAACTTCTAAGTAATGCCTATCAAACAATTCACGCTACGCAATACTGACATCCAAGGGAGATAACTTCGTAAGAGTTCGTCCCGTATCCCCCCCAAAAATATATATATCTAAAAAGATTGAGAGGCAATGCATAAATATAGAACTTTTGGAGGGGGGATATGGCAGAAGTCTTTCTGAGAACTTCTTGGCTTTTATATTGGCTATATAGTATCTACAAAATTATTACATAACGGTTACACCTTCTGTGTAAACATATTCAATACTTAAAGACAGAAATTAATGATACGTTAAATATGATCATAACATGTACATTACACCTTATGTCTTAGACAAATATAAACACTGCATAGCCTGTAGGTGACACAAGGGTGTGGGGGGCACGGGTGGCCCAGTCGTCTAATTCGCTGTGCAGAGCCGTGTCCCTTGGGCACACCAGAAACCTATGATCGTGGGTTCGAATCCCGGTTCGCCCCGATTATGTTTCTAGGTTTGTCAGCACCATACCCGTGCTCGTGGGTTTCACCGAAGTGGTAAACGTCTGAGACCTGCATCACTTCGGGCTTTCCTCCCACATTAAGCTGACACGCCATGATATAACTGGAATACTGTTAAAAGCGGTGTTAAACCCAACTCACTCACTCACTCACAAGGGTGTGACTCCCCACTGCCACACTTAGGGTAACACCATACTCATGGATCTGAATACATGATACATAGACCAATACACTATTTAACATATAATATTTTGAACACATGCACACATTTTATTTACGATGATTTGCATGTATCACCTCTGAATCTGTACATTACAAAGCTTTTTTAAAACATTCTAGAAGTAAAACACTGTCATATTTTATTGAAGTGATAGACTATTTTTTAGTGATAAATTATGGTTGTTTAGCTTACCTTATGCAGATTTAAATAATTAGACATACCAACATATATATTGGATAACATACGTTTAGTTTACTTGATATAACACTTTAAACATACTGTATTATTTCAGTTATACAGCCAACTGTATTGCTAATACGCTGTGTTCAGTTATACAGCCAACTGTATTGCTAATACGCTGTGTTCAGTTATACAGCCAACTGTATTGCTAATATGCTGTGTTCAGTTATACAGCCAACTGTGTTGCTCATAAGCTGTGTTCAGTTATACAGCCAACTGTGTTGCTAATACGCTGTGTTCAGTTATACAGCCAACTGTATTGCTAATATGCTGTGTTCAGTTATACAGCCAACTGTGTTGCTAATATGCTGTGTTCAGTTATACAGCCAACTGTATTGCTAATATACTGTGTTCAGTTATACAGCCAACTGTGTTGCTAATATGCTGTGTTCAGTTATACAGCCAACTGTGTTGCTAATACGCTGTGTTCAGTTATACAGCCAACTGTGTTGCTAATACGCAGTGTTCAGTTATACAGCCAACTGTGTTGCTAATATGCTGTGTTCAGTTATACAGCCAAATGGATTGCTCATATACTGTGCTCAGTTATACAGCCAACTGTATTGCAAATATACTGTGTTCAGTTATACAGCCAACTGTGTTGCTAATATACTGTGTTCAGTTATACAGCCAACTGTATTGCTAATATGCTGTGTTCAGTTATACAGCCAACTGTATTGCTAATACGCTGTGTTCAGTTATACAGCCAAATGGATTGCTCATATACTGTGTTCAGTTATACAGCCAACTGTATTGCTAATATGCTGTGTTCAGTTATACAGCCAACTGTGTTGCTAATACGCTGTGTTCAGTTATACAGCCAACTGTATTGCTAATATGCTGTGTTCAGTTATACAGCCAACTGTGTTGCTAATACGCTGTGTTCAGTTATACAGCCAACTGTATTGCTAATACGCTGTGTTCAGTTATACAGCCAACTGTATTGCTAATATGCTGTGTTCAGTTATACAGCCAACTGTATTGCTAATATGCTGTGTTCAGTTATACAGCCAACTGTATTGCTAATACGCTGTGTTCAGTTATACAGCCAACTGTATTGCTAATACGCTGTGTTCAGTTATACAGCCAACTGTATTGCTAATATGCTGTGTTCAGTTATACAGCCAACTGTATTGCTAATACGCTGTGTTTAGTTATACAGCCAACTGTATTGCTAATATGCTGTGTTCAGTTATACAGCCAACTGTATTGCTAATATGCTGTGTCATTTCTTGACAGGAACCTCTTGATTACAAGTTTAAAGATCAAAATCCTATTGCAGTCCATTTCTTAATGGTAAGATTTCATGTTTATATTGATGTGTCATGTATTTGTGATATGTAAGTTAAGTGTTATAATATGTTTTTTCTAAGTCTCAAGAATAATCGTAATATGTTCTTATGGCTTGGGCTGGTCAGGTAGCCTAGTGGTTAAAGCGTTCGCTCGTCATGCCGAAGACCTGGGTTCAATTCCCGACATGGGTGCAATGTGTGAAGCCCATTTCTGGAGTCCCCCGCCGTGATATTGCTGGAATATTGCTAAAAGCAGCGTTAAACCATCATGGCTCACTCACTCTTATGGCTGATTGGCTAGTTCATGTTTCCTTATAAACATGATATATTACCGTATTTGACGTAATAAGCGCCCACGGCAACATTTGCTAAAATATTGGCAAGTGAACAATCCCAATTAGCACCCCTTCCAATTGATCAATGTACGCAAGACTTATTTATTCGCGTATAATACGCACTCGTGTGTTATATGCACCCTTAATTATGGGCAATTAAATTCTGGAAAAATACATCTGTCGTACATAAACATTTCAGACTGTCAGCGTAATTTATCTTTCAACTCTGTTTTTTTTCACCAAAATAATATTCTAATAAGAGCCCCCTATTCCTAATTTTGAGAGCACCCTGGGCGCTCATTACGTTGAATACGGTATGTGCTTTTTCAGACATATGTGAACATGCCATCCATTGTTCATGACATCACATTGATGTGACACAATTTCAGCATTATTGACTAATTTCATTAATTCTGTTACCATGGAGACTTGTGTCGATGGTATCCTACAAGAGGCAAGTGTCTGTTGCAGTGTTGTCTGTTAATGGACCCTGATAAGCGCCACACTTGTCAGCAACTCTTGGAACACAAGTACCTGGACTCAACGCGAGAGGGGCTCGAGAGCCGGCCAGTACATCGACATCATCATCATCGCTTCAGGCGGCCTCCAGTACAGAAACAATGGGTAGTAAGTCCACTTTTGCCTCTTCAATATTTACACAGCCGTTTCAGCCATGTTGATGAAGCAATTACCTGGCTAGAGGCGGATCCAGGACGGTGAGATGCACACTATAAGTCGGGATGTCACCGCATACACGTGACAGGCTGACATGTAACATGCTGAAAAACGAGGGGATTTCTCTGTTCAAAATTAAGCATGACAGTGAAGGGATCCTTGTCATAGCTCCAGTGTTAAAAGTCAAAGATCTTTGCTTCTTCCCGAGGCAAGGGTGTTAACTGACTATAAAAGTCCAGTTTCCACCCTTGCCAAACTAGGCTGGAATTATAATCTATGCATAGTCCAAGCAAAACCGGGTATTGAAATCAACATCCGGTTCATAAACTTCCGTGCAGATTTCGGTAGATTGCAGGATTTGCAAAGCATTTGTACCGTCACCTTAGCATCAACAGATATTTTCCAAATCCTTTCATTTTTAATCAAGGTGCCAATGTGATTTGATGTACTTTGCGAAGTAAGACCCGTTTTATTACAATATACATCTTGATTATCGATCAGATCGTCTTCACTGGGCGGTGCCATTTTGTTTGAAGCAAATGCACGTGATGTTATGCAGCTTGTCAAATTGTCAGATGTTACACATCATATGACATTTTGAAAAAAAAACCTTAATAATGAATGTCCTTCATTTTACTGTTGGAGAAAAATGTTATGGGGACTACTTCCTCTGTTTTAACCCTATCAGTATTCCGGGTTAGAATTGGTTCCCAGCAGCCTATGCTTGTCATAATCAGGATAATTGGGATCTAACTGATCAGGTGATTCTGTGACTTGATTATTTGTATGTCATCATACCCCAAAGGCATGGTGGTTGCTCAAAACATCAGTCACTGGATTGTCTGGTCCAAACTTGATCATTTACAGGCCACAGCCATATAGCTGGAATATTGCTGAGTGTGGCATTAAACAATTAACAAATCCTGCTATTTGCCATAGTTGCTGCCTTTCTCCATTCCAATATTAACCTCATTCACCCTCTGAAAATGAATGCTTGTCGTAAGAGGCAACTAACGGGATCTGGTGGTCAGGCTTGCTGACTTGGTCGATGCATGTCATCGTATCCCAACTGCGTTAATCGATGCTCGTGATGTCAATCACTGGATTGTCTGGCCCAGACTTGATTATTTACAGTCCACTATCATATAGCTGGAATATTGCTAAGTGTTGCGTTAAACAACAAACAAACCGGAAAAAACTCTGAAAAAGAACCATGGTTAGCGATTCCTTAAGGACATGGTAACACCCAATTCGGCAGATCAAACTCCATTTAAAGCGAATATCATCTAATGATATTATTAATTTCCAGGTTCCATCACTGCCAACCTTGCAGCCAAATCCTTTGTCGAACTCTCCGAACCCAGGGAACATGGGAAGGATCCCACGGTATGCGAACCACAGAGGCGACCATCTTCCCAACATCTGAATTTTAGGCCAAGGGTGCAGTCGTCCGGACGGCAACTGAGGGGTTGTTTGTCCGGCCAGCTCCTGGTGGCCTCGTCCTGTTGTCTGGGAGCAACAGAGCATGTGTTATTTTGCACTGTTTTGCTTTAAAAAAAGACAGAGTTCTGCTTGTCAACTTCTTATTCTACGCACTAGGATCTTGTGAAGGTGTAGCTTATCCTGGCTTCAAGGAAGACGTCGACGGTACGTCCTGTACACAGTGTCTGCCAGGAATAGTCAGGGCAGTGAATTCATGTTGAACAAGGAAGACTGACATAGGGCCGTCAATAATAATTTTGTGTTTCCCTTCTCCATGCTTGGCTGCAGAACAAGTGGGCTTGTGGGTGAAGAAAATGAAAAAAAAGGTTTTGGTTGAGATTATAGTTGATAATTTGGGTCTACAATTTGACATTTAGCAGTTGCTGTGTCAAATTTTAAAGAACGAAAAACTGGGTCTTCAGAGATGGAAATAACAAAGCAAGAAGCAGAGTTACTTCCCTTTTTTGAATAACCTTTACTATAAAATACGGATTCGATATTTTTTGAAAACGAAATGTGTTAATTATTTTTTGTCAGGGCATAGAATCAAGTGGATGAATGCGTGCATAATGTTGTTTGTCCGGTAGGATATGAGAAACACACAAAAATACAGACAGCCTGATATGACAGTCCTTATTCACTGCTCTCTGAATTATGTACATTTTTATTCACTGTATGAAGCAAATAATCCTACAAAATCTCTAAAATATGACGTCTATAAACTTAAAATAAGGCAATTTCTTTAACTAGTTAATATTTATTTGCATTAAGCATTGCTGATGCGTTTTTGGAATGTTAAAACAAAATAGGTATACATTAAAAATAATAATGAATGTGCATAACATTGAAAAAAAGAATGTTCTCAATGTGAAAGTAATATTATTTATGCAAAAAACACATGGACTCCCTGCTTGTACAAACCCTCCTGCAACAAATATAAATATTTTTATTAAATTATCCTTGTAGGTTTAGATAGAGGTATATTTCGTTGTCCTCAGGTGATCGTGTAGCAAGGCAAAGCATCGTTAAGGAATATTTTATGACTATGTGGAAATGTTGCTAGCTTATGTCCAGTTCCGAGGTCGGCACGCACGTATAGTTGCGTGAGGACCCATTCCACTTATGCATTCACAAGTTTGCTTACAAAACATCCAATCTCACGAACTTGTGATTTTCTGATGTTGGCAGCACTTCCAATCCATTTCATGTAGCTTGTGTTACCATGTGTTATTGTTGTGTCATGCTTGTGTTCCTTAAATTATGGCTAATTCTCTATGCGGGTAGTAACCACTGTGCCTGATTTGATCAACAATGTTTGATCAACAATGTTTGATCAACAATGTTTGATCATTGCCAGAGGTGATTGGAAATATTTCTTTTGTTCTGTATGGTTTAAATGATGACGTGACAATTTACTTGAATCGAATAAGTCTGAGATGCAGTCAGAGTTTAAATTTTAAATTGTGTTATTATTGCTATTTATGTTAATTTTATCGGTCTTTATTTTTTTGGTAACAAATCGTTTTCAAATTGGTCTATGATTAACAATAGGGACTACTTTGGAAATGCAGTTTGAAATACGTTATCAGAAATTGGAATATTTCTTTTTTGGATTTGAATTGGTTTTTGACGACTTTTCTGTGTATTTCATGAATGTGTACTTTTGGTGTGTATTGACACTTAGCTGGCTTACTGGGGGGTAGTTGTGTGGACGAAGAAGCTAGCTTGTTGCACGTGTTAACACCCCTCAACAACCTGTTGTCTCCCTCATGACAAGGATTTGGGTCAATGTAAGGCGTATAATTCCCAGTCAGAACCTTAGATGTTATAGCATTTATACTACATTGGATTTCCGTGGACATCTGTATTTATTGTTGATAAATGTCAGGAAATCTTCACACATTCACTCTCACACTTCATCCTTGTAAAGGGAATCACAATATGCAACTTCAACACCTAACTCAAATCACAATACGGTTTTCTAATAAGAAGCACTTTTTTAATGATTCTTGATAATCAGCGTTATTATTCATAATTCATGTGAAGAGTATCTACTGTTTCATACTTTTTACCAATGAGCCATGTTGGGTTGGTTCTAATCTCGTCTCAGATTCTTCTGTTGTGACAATCTCATTGAAATCAGATCTTTTACCCTGATTGGGTACCTTTCATCAAGATTTGACAAACTCGCCATGTTAGGTCGTGTGACGTGAATTTTCTGATTAGTCACTGGAGCTTCTGAATTGTTGGTGCAAGCCAGCAAAGTATTCGGAGTAGCATGTCTGATTTCAGTATCTAGTAAACAGATATAAACAGGCAGTTACAAATGGAGATAAATATGACAGGGCTGTTCTGGATATTTTAGTATTTTACACCTTGTCCTTTCTGTGTACTATCAAGGGAATATTTGCATTTAGTGTGGGTTTTGTTAAGACTGTTAAACTAGTATGTAACCAATAAACAGTTGTGTAATCAATAAGCAATTGTGTACAATCAACCTGGGAAAGGGCCTCCCTACATTAATGTATTCCTTGATGAGTAAAATCCTGGAATACAGTATTGGACTACCATTGGCCTTGGAATATTTAAGGATTTATTTTTAAATGGAAATTTTTTAAAAAATGCGTCGAACTTTATGATGATGCAGGCGGTGCCTGAGAACCAAGACTATTTTTGTTTTAGCCTTAGAATATCAAATTGGAGTAACAGATCTGAGTTTATTGAGCTTGTTTTTTGTCATTTTGTCATGTACACCAATGCAGAATTGGAGAGTGCCTCAACACTCTATGGCAGCTCTGATGTAGGAGTATTCCTCATTTAACCTGGTCTTAAGAGGACTTCCCACACAGTTTCTTAAACTTTGTACAGACTTGTGAATAAGCAGGGACCAAGCTGCTGTCAGGGCATTTAGCTCACCCTGTATATTCCTTTCCGGTTTACTCGGTTGTTATGTACATACATTTACGTGTACCTGTGATTGAAGCGCATGTTCCATGGTGGATTTGATGATGCCTGGTTCGATTCCTACATTACAGTCTTAAGCCAAGCACCTGCTCCACTGGCCTCGTCCACATTTCTCAAGCTGGATCTGCATTTTATATCTGGATTGTATTTATTGTTTGGTATTTGTAAAATAAGGACATAACATACAGTAGTAACATTAAAAGCCAGTAAAAGTTACTCAAGGACGTTTTCACTCATATATGAATTCATGAAATATTTTATTTGAAGTCTCTTTTGAAACTACCGTATTCGATGTAATAAGCGCCCCACTCTAATAAGTGCCCAAGGCGATATTTATTAATATATTAGCTTGTGAACAATCCCAATTAGCACCCCTTCCGATTTATCAATGTACACAAGACTTATTTATTTGTGTATAATACGCACTCGTGTGTTATATGCACCCTTAATTATGGGCAATTAAAATAAAAATATATCTCGTACATAAACATTTCAGGCTATCAGCATAAACCATGAAATTTGTCTTTCAACTCTGGTTTTTTTCCCACCAAAATACCATTCTAATAAGAGCCCCCTATTTCTAATTTTGAGAGCGCCCTGGGCGCTTATTATGTCGAATACGGTATTTGTTGGTAATGAAATTTTTTATCCATAAGGGAAAGAAATTGATCTTTTAGTCGACAGAACGTATTGAGTATGCATACAGAATGATATGCGTGACCCCCATTTTGTCTATATTTCTGTATTTTATTGATGTTGTGTCATCATCTACATCTCATCCATGTCTCTGTTTATTTTTCTTGGAACAAAGTTGGGGTATTTTCCAACACTTTCACAGACTGATGTCAAAGGATAGAACTTTTTGGACCGATTTTGGAAGATCAATTTTTCAACAAAAAAAGTGACCCAAAATTTGGTATTTGAACAAGTCCCGTTAATATGAAAGTGCTTCTTTGTTTCGTTGTTGTGTTATGTTGTCACCTGTTGTTATTCTGTTACCGTGGTTACCATTTCATTGAATCATGTTGCTATCACTGTGACAACTGTATGCATCGTCACACTGTGCTATAGTCAGCTGCAAGCTGGACTTCTGAAATAGGAGACAAAGTGTCAGTTTTGTATTGTTGTCATTGTTTTGTCAGATTGTTATCTTCACCATCATACCATTATCATGATTGTCATACTTCTTGGTCTGGGCCTCGTTCCTCAAAGCTATCTTAGCGCTAAGGTGATCGTAAGTGCCATACTTTAACATAGGCTTGCGATCATCATAGCGCTAAGACCGCTTTGAGGAACGGGGTCCTGGACTTTTAAGTAGTTTAATGGGCTTGTTATTGACATCACTGGGAATTTTCTTTTCTTCTGAGATTTAAAGTTAAACGTACACCTTATTCAGGCAATTGTAAAAAATATTACTATTTTTGTTGGTTTCTTTCGAATGAAGACTATTTCTCACATTAAGGTTATGAAGATGTAAAATCAATCTTCAACACATATATTTTCTATTTTCGTATATTTCCCAAAGATTTTTGCGAGGCAAACTTAAGGAAAGGTTACCTGTTTCTGTTTTGTGTTTTTGTTTTGTGGAATAGAAACACATATTTCACCTGTTTCTTGTTTTAGGAAACATCCAGGATACGGACAGTTTTCTGACGTGAAACACTTGTGATAGCCGTGAAACACTTGTGATAGCCATGAATTCTACCATGAAATTGGAAAATAAGTGATTATGATTTGTCAGAGGTTTCAAATCAAAGTAACCACCTCTGATTGATACAGCTGATTTGACAGCTGCATATTCATAGAAAAGTATTTCTTTCTCAATCACTAGGCATTTTTTTAATGACTGAATAAGTTACAAAAATATTCAAAGTATGTGTGGTAATACATTTTGGGCAGAAAACAATAAAAATCAAGTTTAGGGACAAGAGAGAGCTTCAAATATAGCGTTTTTCTATATTGGACAGTGACACATGTTGTTGCATCACAATGAGTGAGTGAGTGAGTATGGTTTAACGCCGCTTTTAGCAATATTCCAGCAATATCACGGCGGGGGACACCCGAAATGGGCTTCACACATTGTACCCATGTCAGGAATCAAACCCGGGACTTCGGTGTAAAGATCGAACGCTCTAACCACTAGGCTACCGACCGCCCCCACAATGAGTGATGTACAGTGTAGAACTAAACCTTGCAAGGCTTACTTAGTTTTCGTTTGTGCCAGTTTAACAAAGGGCATACCCAAAGTCAAGGCCTGAGCTGGAGGTATTGACGCTAGGGCCATGGAAATGGAGTATTCTACCTCCCCCCACGTTATTGTGTTGCCACGACAAACATGTATCGTCATGCGCATGCCATCATGTCACTCATTATCTCATTCATGTCCGTCCACCCATTCCGTCCTGTGGTCGCATCATATTACTATGTTCAATATGTTTGTCAAATGGCCAAAATTGTTTACATCATAATACTTGTCAAATTGTTTGTTTTTTCTCTCAACTATTCCAATTTCTAGCAAAGGGTAATAATTTCTGTTGTTAATTATATCACTAGAATAAATACTGATCATTCTGTGTTGGGTTGATTCGATGTTATGTGAAGGTCTGTGTTTGTTTGTTTGTTTGACGCCACACGCAGCATTATTCCAGCTATATGACGGCGGTCTGTAAATAATCAAGTCTGGCCCAGACAAACCAGTGATTGACATCATGAGCATCGATCCACGCAATTGGGATACGATGACATGCATCAACCAAGTCAGCAAGGTGTAATGCCAGTTTATTTGGGAACGAGGAAAACAAGGATAGGTTTTTTAACTCTGCACAAAATACACCCTGCACAGTCAGCAATATCCAGTTATGTCATGACGGCTTGTGGACCCGTGAAGATTCCGGGGTAGAACAGGTCTTCAGCAACCCATGCTTGTCGTAAAAGGCGACTAACGGGATCGGGTAGTCAGGCTCGCTGACTTGGTTGATGCCTGTCATCGATCCCAATTGCGTAGATCGATGCTCATGATATCAATCACTGGATTGTCTGGTCCAGACTTGATTATTTTCAGACCGCCGTCATATAGCTGGAATATTGCTGAGTGAGGCGTTAAACAACAAACCACCAAACATGACGGCTTGTAAAGAAATAAAGCTGTAGAAGATAAACCAGTGATTGGGGCACATAAATCTACTATCATACTATCCCGGAATCCTCATACGAATGAAGCAACACTGGACGGAACTCTGTGGTATGACCTGGTTCAATGCTTTGTTCAACAGAGGTTGTTGTCTAACGCTGCACTCAGCAATAATCCACCAATCCAGTGATTGACATAAGCATTGATCTAGGCAACTGGGATACGATGATCAAGTCTGGTCAAGTCACCCAATCCCTTCAGTCACTTCTGATGACAAGCATGGGTTGCTGAAGACCAATTCTAACCTTCACGGGGCTGGCTTACGAAGGACAACGAATGCACACAGTTTATGATCATGTTTATTCTTTGCACTATACACATATATATGTACACATTGACACAATAATGGCCAGAGATTTGTCTAAATGTATGTACAATTGCCATGTCAATAGTGTTCCAGCTGGCTTTTGAAACTGCCGGTCCACAAAAGGACTGGCAACTCTAAAAATTACCAGTCCCCTCTAAGATGTCATCTCTGAAGTAACTTAATTAGATCTAAACGTCATTCACACAAATTTCTCTCTTTTTTTAATATTTCGAGACGAATTCGCTAAAAATGGTGGTAACAGACAAGCTGACTTTGTTAGAAAAATGTACTAATATGAATATCCCGATGTTTTGTTCAACATCAAAGATTTATAAGGTACTTTATTTGCCGGTCCACAGGGACTGGCAGTCACATGAATTACCGGTCCACGCCTAATTTTACCGGTAAACAACTGGTAATTACCTGTAAACGGGAACGCTGCAATACCACCAGTCCACACACCCCATATGTGAGTACTGTTGGCTTGATTAAACACTAAGACTTGAAAGACACATGTTTAACAAAGTTCATTGTTTGAGAATTATGATATTGTACAGAGAATGAAGAAATTCTTTAGCTCAATAAATGATGTCCAATAAACAGCAACTCTACATTTACATACTGTCGACTCATTAAGAGTCAAATCAAGGGAATTCACTACAAGTATCAACCTTAACCGAATTATCACATATCGTTTTTTTGTTAATGTAGCGGCCATAAAATTTCCGAGTCCCATGATGGGATTTGAACCACAGACCTTCTGACCGTGAGTGAGTGAGTTTGGTTTAACGCCACTTTTAACAGTATTCCAGTTATATTGCGGCCAGTCAGCCTAATGTAGGAGGAAATCCCGAAGTGATGCAGGTCTCAGACGTTTACCACTTCAGTGAAACCCACGAGCACGGGTATGGTGCTGACAAACCCAGAAACATAATCGGGGCGAACCGGGATTTGAACCCACAATCATAGGTTTCTGGCGTGCCCAAGGGACGCAACTCTGCACAGCGAATCGCGGACCTATAGACGACTGGGCCACCCGTGCCCCCACCTTCTGACCGAGGTCAGAGGCCTTGTCCACATGACCAAAGAGGTTAACCCCGTCAGCCAGCTGACAAGGTAAGGATGTCATCTGTGGGATGACTCCACGCCCTGCTACATCAACATCATTTACAAAGGGAAATCTTGTCTCGCGTGTTTTGCCGCAGCTGATCAGCTGCTACAAGTCGACATTCACAACTTTTCTTGTTCCATACACATTGACGCTGGGGACCAAGGAAATTTACTACTTAACTTGTTTCAAATCGCAGTCAAACACAGTTGTGTCGAAGTTGAAGGGACCTACGTAAATACTTCGAGTTTTCCGAGGTTACAAAACAACCGAAAACTTATGAAAATAAAGAAGAATTTGCTGGGAACCAAGCTCTTACTTTGAGACAACCGTAAGAATCTAAGATGGAGTGAGTGAGTGAGTGAGTTAGGTTTAAGGCCGCTTTTAACAGTATTCCAGTTATATCAAGGCGTGTCAGCTTGATGTGGGAGGAAAGCCCGAAGTGATGCAGGTCTCAGACGTTTACCACTTCGGTGAAACCCACGAGCACGGGTATGGTTCTGACAAACCTAGAAACATAATCGGGGCGAACCGGGATTCGAACCCACAATCATAGGTTTCTGGCGTGCCCAAGGGACGCAACTCTGCACAGCGAATCGCGGACCCATAGACGACTGGGCCACCCGTTCCCCCTCTACTTAAATAGAGTCAACTGTACAAACTAATAACTGGTTATAACGTGAGAAACTTTTGAAAGAACTACAGTAAACTACGTTAATAACGAACACGCTTATACCGCAATGACGGACATAACAAATTGCGGAATATGTGCCTACAACGAACTACGGTTATAACGAACTAAAGTTAGTGGGTTTTTTTAGTTCATTATAATTAATGTACCAGAAGTTTCCTGTTTGAGATGAATCGTCTCATGGTAGGCAACTCTTAATAGATGAGTGAGTATTGTTTTACGCCGCTTTTAGCAGTATTCCTGCAATATCCCGGCATGGGACACCAGAAATGGGCTTCAAACATTGTACCCATGTCGGGAATCAAACCTGGGTCTTCGGCGAGACGAGCGAACGCTTTAACCACAAGGCTACCCGAACGCCCCCTTAATAGATGAGAAATACCTCTGGTTATAACTTGAAAAAGACCAATTCAAATTGACTTGCATACTTCTACTAAATTTCCTTTCCATAGATTCAACAATGCAATACAATATTTTGATACCGGGGTTTTTCTTTGAAACCATGGCTCGTGGGAGTCTAACACCAAACACTGGACATGATGATAGACAGGTACTGATGCCGATGACACAGATAGCAGGCATAAAACTATCATAAAGCATCTTAGCACTTTCTGAAAGTTTAAATAATTCTGTTATTTACATGAACAATGTACACAAACAATTCCATCAAAGAAAATTCTTGATATTCTCAGTCAAGATCCCTTCCAGGAACAATATCAATGATAGTTCATAAGATCATGAGAGTGAGTGAGTGAGTTGGGTTTAACGCCGCTTTTAACAGTATTACAGTTATACCACGGTGTCAGCTTAATGTGGGAGGAAAGCCCGAAGTGGTGCAGGTCTCAGACGTTTACTACTTCGGTGAAAACCACGAGCAGGGGTATGGTGCTGACAAACCTAGAAACATAAACGGGATTCAAACCCACAATCATAGGTTTCTGGCGTGCCCAATGGACGCAACTCTGCACAGCAAATCGCGGCACCTTAGACAACTGGGCAACCTGTGCACCCAGATCATGAGAAACAACCTACTATTTTGGGTGTATCAATTAATCAAATTCCATCAAATTTTAATGGTCCAATGGCAATACATGATGGCAAGTTAAAGTATCATATGTATTGATGCTGTGCTTCAATATTAATAGTATCCATACAATAAAATGAAAAATATACTGTTAATCATTTACTTTTTCATTCAAAATGCACCCACTGTTTTATCAGCTGCATATAATCATTACAGATGCAGGACGTGGTTTGGATATCAAGCCAAAAAATACAACTATCATAAAATGTGAACACTACATGCACAAAGATTTCGCAAATTCTTCTGAAGTCCAATTATAATCCTTGACTGTAAAAGACAACTTGTGAAGACATTTGCAATGTCATTAAAATCAGATCTTAGTTCTCGCTATCGCTAAACAAAGATCTGGCCACATCCCATTACGGATCACGTCAGAACGACCTTTCATCCAACTAATCTAAGCGTCGCTTACAGATCGTGAAAGTGACAGTCTGAATGTGTTTTCTAATCATGCAACCACGAAATATTTAACACGGGGTATTCCGAATGACAGTTACGGGTTTTATGATTATATCCATACAATCTAGGCCATCTTTAAGCCATTCCAGAACGTTCTTCATATCAGTTTTAACATTTTTAAGCGAGAATACGTCAAAATATGTTTCGAAAGTCGTCGCCAGTTTGAAACCAGTGATGTAAAGCTCGAGAAAGCTGATTGGCTTGTGTTGATTTCTTGTCAGTCATTTCATTGGTCGGTCAAAATTAACGAAAGGTCGTTCTGACATGACCCGTAATGGGATGTCCTCAGATCTCTGTTTAGCGGTAGCGAGAACTAAGATCTGATTTTAATGAGATTGAGACATTTGTGATGTGCAATCAAGTGTAAAGGACACACAAGTACTTATGTTGTAAGCAGCCTAAATAGAGTATACCAGTATTTAATGTATAAGAGAAACAAACATCAATCTTAAACATTAGAGCAGGGTTTAGAAAACCCTGACCTGTATTTCATGCACATTGGCTGAACATGTTCAAACAGATCCACAGAAATAACATGTAAAGTGGCACGACTAATCAGTGCTGGTGTACAATAATGAATTATTCACTGCCAAACCATCCTACGATTCACATAAGGTGTTTTCTAGCCATATCAGAGAATGTGTAAATAACTTTGGCTCTCCTTTGTCAGTCCCAAATAAATAAATAAAAACCTTTCCCGAGGTTGTTTTCATCCATAAATCATACCCTCAGTATTCAATACTTCCTTCTAGTATTTTAAAAGTACTGTATTTGACGTAATAAGCGCCCAGGGCGCTCTCAAAATTAGAAATAGGGGGTCTTATTAGAATATTATGTTGATGAAAAAAACAGTTGAAAGATAAATTTCGTGGTTTATGGTGACAGCCTGAAATGTTTATGTACGACAGATATATTTTTCCAGAATTTAATTGCCCACAATTAAGGGTGCATATAACACACGAGTGCGTATTATACACGAATAAATAAGTCTTGTTTACATTGATCAATCGTAAGGGGTGCTAATTGGGATTGTTCACTAGGCAATATATCAGCAAATATCGCCGTGGGCGCTTATTAGAACGGGGCGCTTATTACGTCGAATACGGTATACAAAAAGACACTAAACGTATCTCTTCCCACTTGAAAGCTTCTGGTCAACGGATCATCACAAGGTGCACAAGCAACATTGGAATAATCTACAAAAGCAGCTTTGTAAGAATACGATCTCGTTATTGTTTTCGAGAATAACGTAGCCACAACAAACATCTTGAGTGTGGTACAGTCTGACACCATCGACTATGTACAAAATATACATCTTGATCAAAGACCGATTACATAGCGTTAGAAACTTTGTCATTTAAATACAAACATGGAATAATAACATAAATTACAGCTCCACGTCGGTAACAATATGTACACGAGGCTCAAGGATAATCAGTAACAAAGAATAATCTGAGGAATTTTGTAAATCCATTAGGATTACGCGCTGAAATTGTGATTTTTCTAAATATGAAATGTGAAGCAATGAAAACCATAATAATATGAGTACAAAACAAGGTTTCCGACTTTAAATGATTATCTGGACAACACAGTAACCATGGTAACTATTGCACAGCACTGCTGTGCTTCAACGAGAGTACACACAACAGAGCAGCCTATGATACCACACATCCACTGACATTCTTCGGATCCTTGTCGGACATCGGGACTTCTTTTTCTTTCACAGGAGGAAGACTCTCTTCTTTTTCACTTTTCTGAAATCATAAAATAAACTTTCCTGTGGTCCAAACATTCATGGGTAACAAAAAACAACTGTTTCTACTGTTTTGTGTGTAAGTATATATTAGTGGCAATAGAAACTGTGGCTGCAAGTGACTGAAGGGCTAGTAAAATGTCTAGATGTGTTGACAGCAGAAAGTGGAAGTGAGAGTTATCTGACCCTGGTTGTTTACAAACATGACAGACTTGATCATTAGAGAAGTTTCAGGATTGGAGAGTCTTAGGAAGGCTGGCTGTATCTATATTAGAGCAACATGAGGGCTAATTGAGGTCCTATTTACCTCATTTGTATCTTATCTACAGATTGGAGTGGGCACGGGTGGCCCAGTTGTCTAAGGCGTCGCAATTTGCTGTGCAGAGTTGCGTCCCTTGGGCACGCCAGAAACCTATGGTAGTGGGTTCGAATCCTGGTTCGCCCCGATTATGTTTCTAGGTTTGTTATACCCGTGCCAGTGGGTTTCACCGAAGTGGTAAACGTCTGAGACCTGCATCACTCCGGGCTTTCCTCCCACATTAAGCTGACACGCCGTGATATACCTGGAATACTGTTAAAAGCGGCATTAAACCCAACTCACTCACTCACTCACTACAGATTGGATACCTAAAAGTACAGTAAACTACCTTTGTAACGAACATGGTTATAACGACCTGACGGATATAACAAACTGTTCTTCTGGTCCCGGACATTTGCCATATATTTTATCATATAAAGTTGATGGCTATAACGAACACGCTCATAACGAAATAACGGATAGAGCGAACTCACCTAACAATAGTAACACAGTGATTGAAGTGGATATATTCTGTACATGTTCAGTGCACACTTTTGTTATTTATCGTGTAACATAATGTCACATGACTTGATAATAGATGTCTGATGGTTGAAATGTGTACAGTGAACGATGGATATAACAAACTAACATAAATGGTCCCTTTAAATTTGTTATAACCGTAGGGGAGGTCGGGTGACAAGTGGTTACAGTGTTTGCTCGTCACGCCAAAGACCCGGGTTCGATTCCCAACATGGGTACAATGTGTGAAGCCAATTTCTGGCGTCCCCCTCCGTGATATTGCTGGAATATTGCTAAAAGCGGTGTAAAACAATACTCACTCACTCACTCATAGTTTAGGGCATAACTATACTTTATGACCTATACATGAGGGTAGAGCAAACTTTATTTCTGAAGTAGAAGGGGAGGCAATCAGACGCTCACTCCAATAATGCTTTTTGTAGCATGCATGTTTCTCCCATTAGTCCCTGCGTGTAGTGTTATAAACAATTCTACCATGAATTTGGAATTTACTCGATTCTGATTGGTCAATCAGAGGCCATTAAATCACAATAAACCCCCTCTGATTGAAACAGCTGGTTTGACGGCCGCATCACCGCGGAAGCTAATATTCATAGAATAGTACTATTTTCAGTCATTGTCGGTAGGCATATTTAAATAACTATATCTACAATTACAGGTTACAAAATGCACATATGCGGTTACTACAATATTCAAAGGATGTGTGGCAATACATTTCGTGCAGAAAAACACGGCATAAATCAACAAAGGGAATGTATTTACGTTTTGGAGACAACAGAGAGCTTGAAATTTTGGCGCTTTTCTATACACGAATGTGACGTCATATATTTTGCGTCACAATGAGCGATATGACGTCATAATGGTGACGCGAGATGTAGAGCGAAAGCCTTGCAAATCTTGCTTTGTTTTCTTAGGGATGGCCACCTCATGTTAGCTTACCAAGTTGCCGTGCTTATATGCTTTTAATGCCTGTCATATGTTCGAGTGAAGTATTACGGAGTAAACAAACTGCTTGAGTATATACAGCACCATATTTTGTCGGTGATTCCGTAATTCAGATCGATAACCCACTCAAAACACTGAACTCAACCCATGCCGCTTCACTCAGTATATTTGCTAACACCAAAGAGTTCGCGTTTTATTCTTCCCCGCCCTTAAGGCGGGGAAGTATACGGGAAACGTTAAATTTGTGGCATGTATGTCGACATGTTGGTTTATTTGAAATTTCAAGCCACGCATTTACGGAAACAAAACATAAAATCATGTGCGTGGAATGTTGATGCTATTCTTTTCCAGCAATAAGAGATACTTCAAAATCGTCTTTATGTAGTTAATTGATGCATCTGACCGTTTCTGGTCATTAGCTGACATTATTAAACCATTCATGTGTAATCCGATGTCCTTTTTTCCTCAAGGACTAATTTTCTGATTTTCACGGTGTATACAAAAGAAGAACTGTGCTCCGGAGATCGTAAATAACAGCATAATAAAAATTATGTTCTGAATATGCTTATTCATGAACAACGACGACATCTCAATTTAAATGTAATATGGCTGAATTCCATATTCTACATACCACACTTTTGATTGTTTGGATGCTCATGTTCACTGGAAATATTAGGAATAGTTATATTCCGTATTTTGAATTAACCCAGTCCCCCGTTTTTTAATCAGTGCACCGCACATAACCACATGTGAAACGTTTGGTAGCAAAGTCAAAGCAAAATCGGAGTAGTGTGTCAGCGAATTTGCATCAAGGCTGTAGTATTTTTCAACCGTTGAATGGAATTCAATGTACAGCCGTAGCTCTGGTCATTCATATATTTTTATCTATTTGCGTCTGTACCGTGTTCCACTGACCTCGATAATCTGTTGGATGAAGGCACAGCTCTCTACAGCCACAAAGTTAACACCGAAGGCTATGAGGAGTATTTAGGTCATAATCAGTCCCCAGCAGCCACTGCCTCAAGCGATATTGTCTACATAACAGATCAGTTTTATGGCTCCGTCACAGGTGCTCCAAATATTGAAGCAGGGAAAACAAATTTCATAGAATCATTTCAAAAAGCAATATTGATATCCCCGTCACTTTTGGTAACTTTTAATGATGTCTCCATTGCAATTTTTACGGATTTCGATTCGTATGCATTATTTGACTGTCATCAGCGGAATGGTCTTGGTCGGATTGATCCGAATGGACAAGCGGTTTTACTTCTGTTTAGTAGTATGGATGAATTGTCATGTTACATCTTAACAGTATATATATATCAGGCTACTATGCTTGTCGTAAGAGGCGTCGATCCCAAATGCGTGGATCGATGCTCATGATATTAGGCACTGGATTGTCGGGTCCAGACTCGATTATTTACAGACCGCCGTCATATAGCTGGGATATTGCTGAGTGCGGCGTTAAACGACAAACCAATCAATCATCATCATATGAACTCAAACCAGTCATTGTTACAAGTAAACCACATTCCACAACAGTTACTGACACTGGATAAAAAACAGTATATAGAAAAAACCCAAGTAACTCAACTCATCATGATCACAATTACTATTCTTTGAAAGAAAGAAATACACAAAAAACTGACCAAAAAACGTAAAACAAGAGACGAGGAATCTCCGTTATTGATTAGTCCCGGTATTGAAATGTTCTCCAACTACGTGATAATATTTTGAGTATGTGCATCTGTGGTTGTGACAAAAAGACCTTATCTAGTATGACTTTTTTTGCCATATGGAGCCCTTAGTATTTTCATTTACATTATTATAACTAAATGCTAAGTGTAAAAAGAATGTGATCTATTTTTTGAGTATGTGCATCTGCCAATGTTGTTGGCAGTTTTGATACTATTTCCACATGTTTACATTTGTGCCAGAAATTGCTTCCATTTCCTTCGATCTACTTTTTAAATAAAGACCCAGGTAAGAATAGGTCTTCAGCAACCTATGCTTGCCGTAAGAGGCGACGAACAGGATTGGGTAGTCAGGCTCGCCGATTTGGTCGATGCATAACATCATATTCCAATTGCGTAGTTCGATGCTCTTGGTGTCAATCACTGGATGATCTGGTCCAGACTGGATGATCTGGTCCAGACTGGATTATTTACAGACCTCCGTCATATGGCTGGAATAATGCTGAGTGCGGCGTTAAACAAGAAACTATTCTTAAATAGACCTACCCTATGCAAATGCATCAACTGTATTGCCCAATACTCAAAATAAATAATATTTTTTTCCACAACAGCGTTGTGTTATTTGTGGTTAATATAATTATGCTCTATCATGCCTTTCAGTAACATCATAATTATGCGTTTGTGAGGCATCACATATGGCGGGGAACTTTGATGCTCTGCATCAATGTTTTCTTGTTTGGTCATGGTAGAATGGAGATAAACATACTGTGTTTTCAATGTAGAGCTAGGTTACCTGTAGATTTAACCGCGCTTAATTTAACATTTGAAACCTCACGCTGCGCGTTCGGTTCCAAATTCAATTTAGCGGGGTTAAATCTACAGGTAACCTAGCTCTACATTGAAAACACACTATGTTTATCTCCTAAATGACCAAGATGCTTCTGGTGAGAAGTATCCACCACAATATAAATCTTGAGAGCATTTTCTACTAGCCAGCTGACCCTCCAAAACACTCCCCTGTCCATGGGGTCATACGAACCACGGACATACAAACATGTAAGTCTTTGTATGAACAAATGAACTATTTGTGCATCCATATACTGTCAAATAGACATTTAATGGTAAAGGGGGATAACTCTGGTTAACTGTGACCATTTGTGTCTCAAGACGTTTGGCCACATGATGCATTTAAGGCCGTCTGTTTCATGTTACCATCCCACTCAAAACCTAAGAGGTTCTGTATTTCACTGATAGGTATTCAAACACGGAGATCTAGCTTCTTTCTCTTTTTGTCTTGCGTGCCTTCTGCTTTCCCATCTAAATGTTCAGGGGAGCGGGTAAAGGTTAAAGGGTTTGCTCAAGACCCAGGTTCAATTTCCTACATGGGTACAGTGTCTGAAGCCAATTCTGGTGTCCCCAATCCTGATAATGCTGGAATATTGCTGAAAGCAGCGTAAAATCCAACTCACTCACTCTAAACATTCAAGCACTCTACATCGATACAGCAGCCTTTGCACTAGGGTGCCATTGTACAAAACAACCTTAGCGCTGTGACTGTCGAAAGTCTATGTTAAGGTATGGGAGGTATGATCACCTTAGCGCTAAGATCACTTTTAACAACGGCACCCAGGGTCCTGTTCCACAAAGCGATCTTAGTGCTATGATTGTCGTAAGCCTTTTTAAAGTATGGGAGTTACGATCATCTTAGCGCTAAGATCGTTTTGTGGAACAGGACAATAACAGCACAATAACAACTCTGTAAGGAAATGCACTCTGGAAAATGTTCAAATTCATAATCAGTTTTGAGAGTAACTTTTTTTCAAATTAATCTTCTGCTCACCCATTCCGCCTCATGGTGAACACAAGAAACATACAATATGGAACTAGATTAGAGAGTAAATACTATTGTCAGAATCAGGCATACATAAAACCAATGCCTTTAAAATGAAACGTACCTTTTCAGGTTTGGGGGCCATTTGGACATTAAACTTGCTGTAGGAGTCCACGTTCCATAGTGGGTTCATGGAGGGGGGCTGGTAATCCTCGGGGCTGACCAGTCCATAGGTGGCCTTCAACTCAAGTTGAGGGGGGTCATAGGTCACCTTCTGGTGGTATCTGGAAGAGAAAAAACAACATGAATACAGATAGAAAATACCACAAAGTCATAACACTGATGCGACTCTTCTTTTCAGACTGAAGCCAAAAGCCATTATCAGAAAATAAAATAATGATAGTTTAAATTCATTGTTATTTACCCAATGCCTCTATATTTGATGGATTAGAACATGAGTCATCAGGAGGTGACATATCTATGCATTCTGGGGCAACTCAAACCCCACTTTTGGTTCATTCAGTGCTGTTCAACATTTTTCAACATCCCAAATCATCAAAAGGCACTAGACTGATCTGTATAGCAGATTTAATCTAGAAATATTCAATGGATTTTGGAGTTCTGATCTTGAAACAAGAACTACCATCATCATCATCATCATCATCATCATCATCATCATCATCATCAACGCACTAGTTCACCACAAGATGGCAAATTTTAACAAGATTTATTTAACATTATAGGAAACTCCGGAAACAGGGGGGACAAAAATACCATACAACAAAGTCTCACGAGCAAGCAGCAACTAAGTTTCATAAAATTAAATATTCATGAGGACGTGGATCTCACTTACATCAAACCATTTTCTCTCTCACACTTTTCCAGTGTCCTCTTCACAACTGGTCCGAGACGTCTAAAGAACACATGGTCGGCTGGCCTGGCGGTCGTCCCGGGGCCCTTGGTTGTGGCATACTCCTTGGCCAGCAGCGATGCCTTGTCATACACTGAAGCAACACAGTACAGAACCTCATATCAGACCACAAAGGCATCTGTTGTCTGTTGTTGTTGGTTTGTTGTTTAATGCCGCACTCAGCAATATTCCAGCTACATGACGGCGGACTGTAAATAATCGAGTCTGGACCAGACAATCCAGTGATTAATATCATGAGCATCGATCCGCGCAATTGGGATCAATGACATGCATCAACCAAGTCAGCGAGCCTGACCACCCAATCCCGTTAGTCGCCTTTTACGGCAAGCGCCTATTCTACCCCAGAATCTTCACGGGTCTGAAGCCATCTGTACATTCATGCAACTATGTCTATATAATGCCAGATGAATTATGACAAAATGAAAAGTTTAACATGCCTGCATAGTATTGATTCTAGTAACAGCATTTTTTTATAATAACTTAAAACACATGTAACATTAAACATAAAATCAAAGTTTCTCATTAGAAGCCATTATAAAACGGACATGGTGACGAAGCCTTTTCTTCCTTTCCTTTTCAGTAGGTATAAAAGGGGAGTAACTAATTAAAATTTAACTCTTCTGTAAAAATCCGGATTTGAAATTTATCGACTGATTGTCCTGAAAAACATTCTCACAGAAAATAGGACCCACATGATAGAGTGCTTTTTATAAACTTTTCATGGCCTAAGATTTAGAATAAAGACCTACATGTGACACTCTCCTTCAGTCCACGTATCGCATCCCCACACTTGTCTGCCGCCAGCAGGGTCTCCCCATTGTACGAGTGAGCCTACAGGAAACAAGAAGGTATTACATTGCGCCATCAGTACACATCGTCATCAGTACACACTGGGGTACATCGTCATCAGTACACACTGCGGTACATCGTCATCAGTACACACTGCAGTACATCGTCATCAGTACACACTGGGGTACATCGTCATCAGTACACACTGGGGTACATCGTCATCAGTACATGCTGGGGTACATCGTCATCAGTACATGCTGGGGTACATCGTCATCAGTACACACTGGGGTACATCGTCATCAGTACACACTGGGGTACATCGTCATCAGTACACACTGGGGAACATCGTCATCAGTACACACTGGGGTACATCGTCATCAGTACACACTGGGGTACATTGTCATCAGTACACACTGGGGAACATCATCATCAGTACACACTGGGGTACATCGTCATCAGTACACACTGGGGTACATCGTCATCAGTACACACTGGGGTACATTGTCATCAGTACACACTGGGGAACATCATCATCAGAACACACTGGGGTACATTGTCATCAGTACACACTGGGGAACATCATCATCAGGACACACTGGGGAACATCATCATCAGTACACACTGGGGTACATCGTCATCAGTACACACTGGGGTACATCGTCATCAGTACACACTGGGGTACATCGTCATCAGTACACAATGGGGAACATCATCATCAGTACACACTGGGGTACATCGTCATCAGTACACACTGGGGTACATCGTCATCAGTACACACTGGGGTACATCATCAACAGTCCTAAGTGACTGTATCATGAATCTAATTACTGTGAAACATTTTACAATTATGTAGGGCCCATCCTACAGAGTGGTCTCAGCCTACTATGATCATAACTCCCATACTCTAACACAGACTTACAATCATCTTAGCAATAAGATCGCTGTGATGATAGCAACTCCGGTACCCCAACATACTTCCAATCATCTCAGCAATAAGATCGCTGTAAGATCGCAACTTCCGTTCTCAAACAGACTTACAATCATCTTAGCACTAAGATCGCTTTGTGCAACTGGGAAAGAACAGAATACTGAAAGAGTATAGATACTGCAAGTGATTTTGTCCTATACAATATTTCAGTGACACACTCACATAAGCCAAGTAGAAGTTACTTTTCAGTTGAAAATATTTCTTCCACTTGCCCACCACCTTGACGTCGAGACTCGCCAGGGCATCGTCTGTAACATGCCAAACACATACTTCATCCAGTAGCAGCCAGCAGCTCAACATGAACATAATCATGCAAGTTTGTTTGTTTGACGTTTAACGCCGCACTCAGCAATATCCACTGATTGACATCATGAGCACTGATCCACGCAATTGGGATACGATGACATGCATCAACCAAGTCAGCGAGCCTGACCACCCGATCCCGATAGTCGCCTCTTACGACAAGCATGGTCGCCTTTTACGGCAAGCATGGGTTGCTGAAGACCTATTCCACCCCGTAAGAGGCAACTATCGGGATCGGGTGGTCAGACTCGCTGACTTGGTTGATGCATGTCATTGTATCCTAATTGCGCAGATCGATGCTCATGATGTCAATCACTGAATTGTCTGGTCCAGACTTGATCATTTACAGACTGCCATCATATCGGAATGGTTCCATGGGAAAAATAATAACCGGCAATAGCGATCAGCTGCTTCTCTTAGGGTTAAAAATTATTTTAAATATATTTAGTAAAAGCTGCAACTAAAGTAACAAGATATGGGAATATATTATTCCTGATAAAAAATAGTTTCAGATACAATTTTTGCCGATCCTTGCATTAAAATCCTGTAAAGTTATATCATTGGTGTGTCTTGACCGAAACACAGGTAGATTCCAAGAAAACGTGTGTAGAGCTGATTGCTGTTTCCGGCTTAGTTTACGAGAAAATACACAAGGTAATCTTAATCCCTGGATGTAAAACAATGCCTAGCAGAACATAAAATACAATTTAAACGGTAAATCAACATGTCTTGTGATTTTATTATCTCAAATTTCAAATTTGTACTGACCAAGTTTCTCATAACCTGTTTTTTTACCGAAATTCGCTGAAGGAGAAGATCTACGGTGTAAATTTTTTCTGCGCTTGATATTCAAATTATTTTCCCCAAAATACTGAATCCGCTAGAGGGGGGTGCGCATTATACATGGGTGCGCACTATACTCAAGAAAATAGGGTAGCTGGAATATTGCTGAGTGTGGCATTAAACAACAAACAAACAATCAAACTGTTTGACCTAGTTTGAAACTGCAAAGAAAAGAGAGAGAGAGAAAGGTATTGAGTCGGAGCAAAAGTCTTTCCTAAGATATCTGCCTACAACCTGGTTGTTGAGCAGTACACGCACCTGCTTTCTGGTACATCTGCCCTGTCTCCGCAGCCAGCGCGGCTATCAGGCTGGGGTTGTGCTTCATCTCGATGGCCCGGGCTAACGTCACTGCAACACCAACACCAGAGTTACTTCCAAAATACAGTGATGAGATGCAAGTTAGGTACAGAACACTTTCAACCTGACATAAGGGCTTATCTACTATCATTCTAATAACAATCACGCTTTAATTATTCATTTATTAAAACCATACACGGAATCCATGAGTGAGTGAGAACGGTTTTATGCCACTTTTAGCAAGATTCCAGCATCATCACTGCCGGGGACACCAGAATGGGCTTTATACATGGTAACCATATCGGGAATCGAACCCGTGTTTTTGGCTTGACTAGTAACACTTTAGCCTCTAGGCTGCTCCACTGCCCCCAGAGACCAATAATGAGTGAGTGAGTTGGGTTTAACGCCGCTTTTAACAGTATTCCAGTTATATTGCGGCGTGTCAGCTTAATGAGGGAGGAAAGCCCGAAGTGATGCAGGTCACAGACGTTTACCACTTCAGTGAAACCCACGAGCACGGGCATGGTGCTGACAGACCTAGAAACATTATCTGGGCGAACCGGGATTCGAACCCACAATCACAGGTTTCTGGCGTGTCCAAGCGACGCAACTCTGCACAGCAAATCGCTGCGTCTTAGACGACTGGGCCACCCATGCCCCCCCAAAGACCAATAACCTTAATTCAAAAATTGATAAAAGTAAAACTTCTTCAATAATAGCTACTGCTGTTTTTCTGCAGAAAGAAAATATGAACTGTCATATAAACTTTCAGGTCTTCGGGGGCGCTAATATCTTACAGATAAGTCAAGATGTTTGTCAGGGGTGCATTATACAGCCAATAGGCGACCATGAATACATTTTAGAAATAAGTCCCCATAAACCATGGATGACGACAGCAGTATCCCACTACCCAAGCCTGCACTGACCTTCTTGAGCCTCCCCGGTGCACTGGTTGATATACGCCTCCAACACCCGCGTGTCAATGTCTGCACCCTTCACCTCCTCCTCTGTAGATAGCTGGCCCACCAGGTCGTTCTGACAGGATAAACATTGTCATACACTTGGACCACTCTAACAGCCGTGTTACCCAACATATCATACACTTGGGCCACTTTAACAGCCATGTTACCCAACATATCATACACTTGGACCACTTTAACGTCCATGTTACCCAACATATCATACACTTGGACCACTTTAACAGCCATGTTACCCAACATATCATACACTTGGACCACTTTAACAGCCATGTTACCCAACATATCATACACTTGGACCACTTTAACAGCCATGTTACCCAACATATCATACACTTGGACCACTTTAACAGCCATGTTACCTAATATATCATGCACTTTGACCATCTCATACTACCGTCTGTTGAGACGTACCTTGATGTAAGTAAAGAGAACCGTCTGTTGAGACATACCTTGATGTAAGTAAAGAGAACCGTCTGTTGAGACATACCTTGATGTAAGTAAAGAGACCAGCAGCGATCCTCAGACACTTGTGGACCTCCTTGGCCTCATCCATGTCCGGACTACAACACAATGACAACAGGCTCAGCACTTATATATATATATATATATATATATATATATATATATAGCTCAGTATATGATTACAGATCTGCAACTGTTATTGAGGATATGATTCCCGGAATTTGCATATGGAACCAAAGGTGTTAGTTGGTAGGGTTTTCTTGTAAAAATATTTGGGCATCAAATACTCAATAACACCCTTAAATTGGAAAACACATAACCTTTAGTGATATTGTAACATAAAGGTCATCAATAAGTTTTTATAGCACACTCTTTCTTTTTGAACTCTCATATTCCTCTCTCCTGGAGTGGAAGGGACATGATGAAATGATATACGACATTGTTGTTTCCATAATAGGTTGTTTTTTTGTTTAATGTCACAATCAGCAAGCTTCTTCCACATGACATAGGTCCTGAGTGAGTGAGTGAGTTAGGTTTAACGCCACTTTTAACAGTATTCCAGTTATATCACGGCGTGTCAGCTTGATGTGGGAGGAAAGCCACAAGTGATGCAGGTCTCAGATGTTAAACAACTTCGGTGAAACCCATGAGCATGGGTATGGTGCTGACAAACCTAGAAACATAATTGGGGCGAACCAGGATTCGAACCCACAATCATAGGTTTCTGGCGTGCCCGCGGGACGCAACTCTGCACAGTGAATCGCGGCGCCTTAGACGACTGGGCCACCCGTACCCCCCCTAGGTCCTGATATCAGTGAAATAGAAAACACCTCAACAAAGCCATACTATTAGCTATAACCACAACAGCATGAATGGGGAAATGTGAAATTCCAATTTGGGATTTTGTCCTGACATTTGCTGCGGATTTTGGGCCAAAAAATCTGCCTCTAATATATAAGCAGGTCTAGATAATTTGGTGTACATAAACGTCCATGTAGACGAACATCCCTAAACATACTACATGATACCGATCTTGGATGTTTCCACTTTTTAATCAGGTAGAATCTGGTAGATCATAGGATTCTGCCATGACAAAGGAAGGCAACTCTTCATTATGAATGATGGAACCTCAGATGACACCCGTGGCCCCCATGTTCACTGACAGTATCAAACCATTAACATTCCAAATCACAAGCACACTACATGTGGTACATTACAACAAAGTGTCCTGAAACAAACAATGTACATACTCCTCCTTCGCAGCAAGTTTAGCAGCATGTTTGGTGTACCACAGGGCCACGTTGATTCCCATGGAGGCAAACTCAAATATCACATCATTATGGGCCCTGAAACAAACACACATAATACTTTACCCACCGATCATGTTCATAATAATACACACAACTAAGAATAAGTGAGGTGAAATGTGGCTGCTTGTACTAGTCGACTGATGCCGATTTATAGTGCTAGCCCACCGAGATACAATGCCGCAGTTGAACATGAATACCCCACTCAGACACAGTATACTGACTCCGAGCCGACCAGTCCTTGTTTTAGCCCCTTAATGCCAGACAGGGTAACAACAAGTACCATCTTTTAACACATGACACAGACGGGTGTTGAAACTCGGACGTTCTGCTCTCTGGACGGACTCTCTACCAGAAGACCACGTAGGCGGTCCACACAACTAATAAACTGGACAGCAATATATGAGTGTACACAGTTCTTCATGTTCTTATTGCTGTACAACATTTTACACTGACTACCTATATGGGCAGAATGGATATACGAGTAGCTCCTGCTGTATCATAAAGTAACCATTTTAACAACTGTCTGAATTTTGTAGTTTCTGAGAAAAAGAGTCTGAAAGATCTCAATCCCATTGTGTTGCAACACATCATATCAATGTTTCTTATTCCTAGATTTGTGGTTTCTTAGAAAAAGATTCTTTAAGTTATCTCACAATTTTAGCATGTTTCATATTTATTTTGGAGGGTAGAGTGAGTGAGTTGGGTTTAACACTGCTTTTTAACATTATTATAGTTATATCACAGCGTGTCAGCTTAATGTGGGAGGAACATGAGGAAAGCCCAAAGTGATGCAGGTCTCAGACATTTACCACTTCGTTGAAACCCATGAGCACGGGTATGGTGCTGACAAACCTAGAAACATAATCGGGGCGAACCAGGATTCAAACCCACAATCATAGGTTTCTGGTGTGCTCAAGGGACGAAACTCTGCACAGCGAATCATTGCGCTTAGATGACAGGGCCACCCATGCCCCCTAAGGAGGTTAGAGAATAAATATGAAAATATGTTACATAAACATGATAAAAATGGGGATGCAAAATATGATACAGTCGTAAGACCAATCTCTCTCAATCACCACCCACTTACCCACCAACCCAATAATAAATTACCAGTCCCTAATCGCAACACTTATAAAACAATGATAGTTCCTCACATTGTAACATTCCCAAGGAGGGTGCTGCTCCACTTGAATCTGATAATTTTCCTCAGTTTGTTCTCTGGCTCGTCCTGTTTGAAGGACATGTACATCCCCAGCAGAAGGGAGAAGTAGTCGTTCGTGGCCTTCTCCACCACGATCTTGTCATGATTTGGGTCTGTCAGTAGCTCCAGGAGTTTACTACGAGTCATACGCAGGTCACTGATAAACAGATAAATACAGATATCAGGATGGTATTAGGTATCTTTCAAAATCTATAAGTTGCTGGAGGTACTATGACCTAGCGCTGGGACGAGTCCACATTTACTACCTGGGTACTCAACCCCTAATACCCGACCCTACCCGGGTACCAACTAATACCTGATAGTGTGCCAGGTACTTGGCCATCCTGGTTTGGTTTGGTTTGTTGGTTTACGCCGCACTCAGCATTATTCCAGCTACATGATGGTGGTCAGTATATAATCAAGTCTGGACCAGACAATCCAGTGATTTACATCATGCACTTCGATCCACGCAATTGGGATCGATGACATGCATCAACCAAGTCAGCGAGCCTGACCACCCATTCCCGTTAGTCGCCTTTTACGACAAGCATAGTCGCCTTTTACGGCAAGCATGGGTTGCTGAAGATCTATTCTACCCCTGATCCTCACGGGTCATTTGGCCATCCTGTCTACTATGCACCACATAAGAGCACATACAATTATTGGGATATGTATCAGATCGCACAGTTGGTGTATCGTCCCAGCCCTATTATACACACTCTTTTGAAAAACGTGAAAAGTTGACCTGTTGCAAACAAATACACTTCTGAAGTTGACCAGTCTTCTATTACAGCAATTTGGTAAACATTGAGCTCGTAGAATTATTATGAATTAAAACCTTTTTTGGTCAGCACCATTGTGTCTACATTGGTCTAGTAGAAATCTGACATCCAGTATATTTTTCAATGTGCTGGTCCCTTCGACTACTGACAATTCTTTGTCAACCAGAGTGACAAGTGTCAATTTAAGAAAGAATATAAACATTAAAATTCAACATGTTTACCATGTCAGACACAAAATAGGGAATGTAACATGTTCATTTTTCAGATAACCATGGAAACCAAATAGATATTGTTTAACTTGCACATTGCAAACCAAATTTCACATTTTAACACAATTAGCAATTTCATCCTAGCACTCACGTTTTACTACATTGACTACCAATACCTATTCAATTGTTACTCATAAAACAAATAAACATGAAAAAACACAAATGATCATTATTATTGTTTACATTGTTATTACTTGTGTCAAAAGACAAGTCAGATTAGAATAGTGTTAGGCTTCAAAATAGATTTCACTCTAAACATCAATTCAAAGCATAGGTAATAATAAGTATGAGTATCTACACGTTTGACAAATAGACTGATAAAAATAAAACTACATTGGGACAATTTTCATTTCAATTTTCAACACAAAATTATACATTAACCATTTTCTAACGCAGGGAGACACTAGCACATATGCTTCAATTGACTTAAATATTCTTTGAGCAGAGATGTCATGAAATACGTATTGCGTAATTGCAATATGCAAACGGGGGTATATTGCAAAACATAAACATACTCATCAAAGTAATAAAAATAGCCCCAACGTCTGTGCGGACTTCCCACTCATCAATTACAATTGTTTTCATCAAAAGCCAATTAATCTGAATCTACATTATTGTACAGTGGTGAATAGTTTTCTTTATTCGATACAAACTAAACTCGAGATAGTCAGATGATTGTGACGGTGAGTCAGTCAACAAAGACTTAGACGTACTTACAATACAGCTACATCGTCTAGACATTAGCACCATCTATCCGTTGTAACACATATATTTACTTGTGACATCACTTTAATTGTCTTACCTAAATATCTTCCTGGTTTGGTCGTTTGTGGAAACGCCATGAAGCTCAAAAGTGACGGAGGCAGTCGCCTTCAAAGGATTTCGATGAAACCAGTACGCCATTTTTGTTTTGATCGCATACGGAAGTAGATAAAAGGGAGGTAATCACAAATGGCCGGGATCAATCCTGTTCCAGCATATCATTTGGTTTCACTTACGCACAGAGAGCACACGTTTCGCATAATGGCAGCCTGACTGTGACGTCATTCTCTTATTCTATGACGTATGACATTGTGGGTTATAAGTCAACTCGTACATACGGAGACCGCGCATGTATAAACGGGAGAACAAAAACAATATTTTATTTATTACTTCAATAATGGTCATATGCGGATTTGTGGTTTATACGTAGGGTCGGGGAGGGAGTGGGGGTTTCGTGGGGTCGGGGAGGGTGGGTGCGGGAGGGTTGCATATGGGTGCAGGGTAAAACGTCACCGATTTAATTAACCGAAAACGGATACTGAAGTTCATTGCGAAAACGACATTTATATAATGAAGATAAAAAAACCGATTTATGTAGTAGTTAATTGATACTTCATTCGTTGGTAACATTAATTCTACTTTTATCACCAAATTTACATATAGCAGAGTGTCATTGTCATCTATTGATTAAAAAAAAATTATCATTATAATTACACCATATTTCAGCACAGCATTCAACATTTCACCACATGGTACGACATGAAGATTTGTCCTGTCTTCTCGCATTAGACACATCGATGCGACAACACCCTTGTGTGCATCTGAAATATAGCTACAGTTCGACATTGAGTTAAATTGAGTAAAGATACTTAAACTTCAAAGTATGGGCGTTTCCACAATACGTTTAGGCCCGTGAAGATTCCGGGGTAGAATAGATCTTCAGCAACCCATGCTTGTCGTAAGAGGCGACTAACGGGATCGGGTGGTCAGGCTCGCTGACTTGGTGGATGCATGTCATCGATCCCAATTGCGTGGATTGATGCTCATGCTTTTAATCACTGGATTGTCTGGTCCAGACTCGATTATTTACAGACCACCGTCACTAAGCTGGAATATTGCTGAGTGCGGCGTTAAACAACAAACAAACACAATAAGTTTAGTTGCGTCTCCCAATCAGAGTCGGCGAGTAAATATGGGTGGAGACTGTATGTGTTTTTAAATAACCTTTCATTTCACAATTATTTGTGTTTGCATTTGAGCCTGCGAGTCTAATTTCACTTATTGGTTGTTTAAAAAAAAAAATAATAATAATAATAAGGTGCCATTTTCGCCTCTCAAAAGTAGCCGGTTTCGCCTTGAGCGAGTTTCCTCTGGTTCGCGAATTATTTGCATGTTTATATCAAGTGCACGATGTTGACTAACCAGATGAGACCTGTGAGAACCAGATGAGACCTGTGAGAACCGGGTGAGACCTGTGAGAACAAGTTGAGACCCGTGAGAACCAGGTGAGACCTGTGTGAACCAGGTGACAACTGTGTCTGCGTTTACTTTTAAGATTTATGTTTCCCTTTCAAATTATTGGCACAAATATGGTGACAGACAAACCGAGATTGTCTAACCATCGTTTTCTCTACCTCAAGCGTCTTTGTACCGATATATGACCTCAGCTGACACTACAACTGCCTTTCTACGGTAACTGGGGTATCATTGGGTGTGGACAGCACCTACAACTCATTCTTTCACTTCACCATGAATACGGAAGGTTATATTTCCCCCCCTACTTGGAACATTCTGACCTGCAAAATATATACAGTACTGTAATATAATGTACTGATCACATTTTTTAAAGGAAAGTTATTTACGAAAAAGAACGTAGACACCTGTAGGATTTCAGCGACATCGTTCAGCGCAATAATACGATTGTCGTCTGCTTGTGGGCGTGGCCTAAATGTTAAAATCAACATAAATGCAAAACGAATTGCTCTCTTAGCCAATCAAATGGCATGCAATCACACACTCTCATGAAAATCAGATCTTACTTCTCTCTACTGATGAGTTTAGCGCTAGCAAGAACTAAGATCTAATTTTAATGAAATTGTGCAATCACTTTATAAAAATCTTTTGAACAATATCGCGCTAAGTGAATTAGAGTTAACTGTGCCTTCTGCCTTTGCGTTGCACAAAGCAGAACTGAGAGGCAACGTCATCAGTTTCTACTTAGACCTCTAGCCAGTAGTTTCTCCGTAACTATCCACGTACAACACACGAGATAACTGGGGTATCTTTGGATGCACACGCAACTCACTCTTACACTTCACAATGAATCGTAAGGTTATACTTTCCCCACTGCAGGGAAAATTCTGACCAGCAAAACAGATAGGGAGTATTACGCTAGCATGTGTGTCATACTGTTTGTTTGTTGTTTAACGACGCACTCAGCAATATTCCAGCTATATGACAGCGGTCTGTAAAACGGGTGACAGTAAGCGAGTCTGACCACCCGATCCCGTTAGTCGCCGGGGGCACGGGTGGCCCACTCGTCTAAGGCGCCGCGATTCTCTGTGCAGAGTTGTGTCCCTTGGGCGCGCAAGAAACCTATGATTGTGGGTTCGAATCCCGGTTCGCCCCGATTATGTTTCTAGGTTTGTCAGCACCATACCCGTGCTCGTGGGTTTCACCGAAGTGGTAAACGTCTGAGACCTGCATCACTTCGGGCTTTCCTCCCACATTAAGCTGACACGCCGTGATATAACTAGAATACTGTTAAAAGCGGCGTTAAACCCAATTCACTCACTCACTCACTCCGTTAGTCGCCTCTCACGAAAAGCATAGTTGCCTTTTAAGGCAAGGATGGGTTTTGAAGACTTATTCTGACCCGGATCTTCACGGGTTGTTTCACACCGATTTTACGAAACGAGTGTCAGAATTCTGAATTCTGAATTCTGACACGGGTTTCGTAAAATCAGCATGACACACATGCAAGTGTAATAATTTCTTTATGACCCATTATTTCTTAATTCCTTAGAATCATTTAGAGTGAGTGAGTGAGTGAGTATGGTTTTAAGCCGCATTTAGCAATATTCCAGCAATATCACGGCGGGGGACACCAGAAATGGACTTCACACATTGTACCCATGTCGGGAATCGAACTCAGGTCTTCGGCGTGACGAGCGAACGTTTTAACCACTAGGCTACCCGACCGCCCAGAATCATTTAGAAAAAATCTCCTTAGAAAAATGCACTGAACACGACCGCCGTCTTCGAAAACCACAACTGTCGGATGACATAAACAATCTTCATCAACGTTTGTTTGTTTTAACGCCTCACATAGCAATATTCCAGCTATTTGACGTCGGTCTGTAAATAATCGAGTCTGGTCCAGGCAATACAGTGGTTGACGTCATGAGCATCGATTTTCACTATTGGGATACGATGACACACATCAACCAAGTCAGCGAGCCTGACCACCCGATCCCGTTAGTTGCCTTTTACGGGATCGGACGGAGTTGCCTTTTACGGACCCGTGAAGATTCCGGGGTAGAATAGGTCTTCAGCAACCCATGCTTGCCGTAAAAGGCGACTATGCTTGTCGTAAAAGGCGACTAACGGGATCGGGTGGTCAGGCTCGCTGACTTGGTTGATGCATGTCACCGATCCCAATTGCGTGGATCGATGCTCATGATATTAATCACTGGATTGTCTGGTCCAGACTCGATTATTTACAGACCGCCGTCATATTGCTGGAACATTGCTGAGTGCGGCGTTAAACAACAAAACAACAAAGTTGCCTTTTACGACAATCATGGGTTGCTGAAGCTAACCCGGATCTCTTCATCAATGACGTCGATTCTAGTGTGACGTCATTCCGACCTTTCGTCACAATACGATTCGAATGACGTCAACAATGCCTTCCGGATGGCGTAAATAAAAGCGACAAAACCCTTTCGGTAAATTTCATAAGAATTCTCGGCCTAAAACCAGAGTCCATGTGTTTATAATTCATGGAAATTCCTGCATTCTGATTAGCTGAATTGGTCACGTGTTATTGCATTCATTTCCCAATGAATGTAAAAAATTAAGCCACGCCCACCGCGGTGCACTACTTTTATTACTTCGGAATGTCGGGGAATCCCAATATTACCGCGAGGGAATTCCCTTTCTGCTCACGTGTATCGTCATGCACAGGACATTTAACGACTTTCATGCATATTCATTGTCCAAACTACCCTTTGAAACCGAAGGCCGAGAATGAATGAAACAGCAAACGTGCAGGCTCGCTCGCCTGTTTTTTTCCCGCTCGCCCCGGTTCAACTTTCATGTCTTCGGGTTTCATTTATAACTAGCATTTCTCCAACTGTGATTTACCGTAATCAGGAAGTAATGTTTGAATCACGCAGTAAATGACCATGTTATTTGAAACTGCCGCCTTCTCTCGGGCATATTTCTTCCGTTTCGTTACAGTCTGACTGTTGCAGTTCTTTTCGCCTCTTGCCTTAATTGACAGGTCAAATGAACATTGTTTTAATCTCACTCTCCGTTGATTGGCTACTGACTGTGTAGGCGTGTCAAGTTATGTGCATAAATTAAACGATCACCTGATTCATGTCACGCCACTGTATGTATTCCTACACCTGGAATGTTTATCAATGTCGTCATTTTTGTCTGTTTTGATATATGCAACTGTTTTGGGTTAAACTATTGTAGATAAAACATGTTTTACGTTGTCGAATTTAATTATAAGCATTGACTGTATATTTTTTTCGGTTCATTGAGGTATGAATCGAAAAGCCAATGTGCAAACTTTTGTAAGAATCCGCTACGCGGATTCATACAAATTGCACATCGGCTTTTCGATTCATACCTCAATGAACCGAAAAAAATACACAGTCAATCCTTAGTGGATTTTGAGTATGATGACATGATTATGTTGCCATGGAACCGAAAAAAATGCCATTTGCTTTCTACTCATAAACAATATATTTCTCTAATAGTATTAAAATTGGCGTAGAAATACTGTCAAATGCATTTTATTCTTAGCGCCAGATTCGGTAAGACTTCAGCACTTGTGAGATATCTTACACAAGTGGATATTAAAGTGGAGGCTGTGTATAAATGGTAAAAAGTCTAATGTTATTCACTTCAGACAGAGAAGTATGTCGCAGTGTGAGCATGTATTCAGATGTAACGATGTTGTGATTGAATATACTGACTGTTACAGATACCTAGGCCTGTGGATGAATGCGTTTTGCGATATGCGCATGGCTG